TAGACACATTCAAAATTCAAACACATGATAAGTTCCTTAAAAATGTCGTCTCAGACTGTACAAACTATTTTTATAAAAGTTACATTTTTTTTAACCACTTAATAATGATTAACTTCAAAACAACTATAGGAAAAATTGATTAAAAAATATCGATATTATCCGTATATTTATTTAAAATTATACTATCGTCCATTGATAAGATATTTTGATATTATATTATATAAATAATATAAAAACAAAAAATAATTTGTGTATTGGTTTACATTAATATCGTATACGCAATTATTTACAACTTTTTATCCCATTGTCCCAACGGAAATTATACGGAGCCCTTTTTATTCCGTATTTTCAAAACTTTCCCATATTAATCCCGTTTTTTCCTTACCTACTGTATACATTTTGAAATTTATTTAATGTCTTTGAGGCTTTAAAGACTATAAACTCTCTATGCATGAAAATCGATTACGATATCACATATAGATATTTCCAAATAAATTAATTACTATACATCAAATACCTATTATATCTGTGTAAATGCAATTTGTTGTGAATATTTGTTAACTAAATCACGGCACATTCAGTTTATAGGTAGATCGTTCATAGTGCCGTAGTTGTAGTTCGTAATCCGTCTTCCTGCTTTGTGATTTCAAGGTGAAATTAACGAGCTTTCGACATAATTTCACCACTAATCGGAATATGGTGTCTTTGCTGTTGTATAAACTACACAAATGAAGCATTTTTGAAAACAAAAAATTATTTTTCCGACTATTTTAAAGTTTTACGTGTGCCAGAATTAAGTTCAGTTGTGCAACAAAGTTTATAATTTTCTCTTTGCTTTTCTTTACGTCACCAACTTCTCAGCGATCTTGTTACAGTTCTGGCCATTTTCTATTAATTTAATTATTTTTAAATTTTGATTTAAAGTTGAAGTTTCGTGTTTACGAGGGGCCATTGTAATAATAAACAAACAATATAGTAATTGTGTAGTAGGACTCGATAAGAAAGAGTAAACTGACGACCGATTTATTATTGTCAGTAAAGAATTATTTAACTTTTTAACTTCGTTGAATTTTTTAGTTTTTTAAAAATGCTCGAAAATTGTATACAACGCTCATCATAACTACGGTGATACGGTAAAAGGGTCTAAGCGACATTTCGAGCCTGAAAAAAAGAAGTCGACAGCCTGATAGGGTGGGTGGGTGGTTAAATATTTTTCATTGCATGATTTTCTAAAAAACTTATATACGCCGTAAGTGCCGAGATTAGCAAAATTAGCACCGGTGCCGGAAAAATATTTATTGATAAAGAAAAAAAAAGAACATTATAATCCTTTATGCTAATTAATATTCAAATACAGAAATTTAAAAATGTTCATTAGAGCGTTGCTCGTCCCTATTTGACGCCCCCATGGTTATACCGCTCGGTACATGTGCACCTTTCGCACATCCCTAGGTATAGCTTTGTATATGCCACTGAGATGACATATTTTTGATTGATTATAGGTTGAATTAATTACTGTGGCTAAAAATGTGGATTGTAGCTAAAATTTAAAAATATTTTTCTTGGTGGTCTTGTCTTCTACTGCGAGACCTTAGGTAAATGTCCTGATTTCCACGATGATGTGCACCGGCGCTGTACTTTGGTCTGCACAGATGATATAGACATACACCTATTATATTATGTATATGTACACTATATACAAGCTATATTTTCACTCTTTGCTAACACGCATCTAATAATAAATAAAAAAATGTATAGGTACCATAATATATAAATAAAAATATAAAAGTTTAATAAATCATTACTTAGTTAACAGAAAAAAAATATAATATATGTCATGGTTTTGGTGCAATATATACTATATATAAAGTACCTACCCATGTATCGAATCGTGGGCGTACGCGCGTTGTGAAAGGATATTATAATATACTATATTTATTGTATTATCATTCCGTAATATCTGAACTCGTAAAACACGGTTTGGGGCTATTCAAAATATACCTATCGTATGGGATATCTATATACTTAAAATAAAATATATACACCATACACACACATCTATGTCCAGTTACAATATCATGTTGAAACCACGCACATATTATAGTAGTTACTATACATGTATAGTTTAAATCACATATAATACGAGTGCCTAGTAATAATAAGATTATCAAAATTTTTTGTAAGACCACTAAGCCCAACGCTATAAATTATAATATCTACTGCATCATCGGTTATACATCGATATAGTGACATTTTACTTTTTTGACCAATAGGTTTAGCCGTGTAGGATTAAATGACTCAATCGAATTGAATACATTTTTTTGGATTTGGAGAGGAGTGAGGAGTCTATTAGTTTTACTATTATGGGTTTTTTTTCTGTCTGTAAACAACTTTCCGGACAGAAGCTCAAATCGAAAAATAACAAGAGAATTTTTTTGTTGAATTTAATATCTAGTTGGTAAAAAAGTAATAGTATGGTTTTCCAAGGGGACTTCAAACCCGGAAACAAAATTATAGGAAAAACAGTAAATATTTACGGGCTTACAGCACACCGCATTGTTTTTAATTTTTACGCACTATTTTCTACTATAAAACTTGTTTCAATCGAAAAATGATTAGAGATCTTTTTTGTTGCATTTCAGATTTAGTTGCATATGTAGAAAGCCGTTTTTCGATTTTCCAAGTAGTTTTTATAATAATTGAGAAAACCAGAAATAATGGTTTCATTATTTTCAATTTTATTATTTTGTTGTAATTCAGTTAAAACTTTGATAGAGACTTTACATTTGAAAAGAAAACTTATATTTTCGTTTCCTAGACGTAGTATAGTTTTCAAAATATTTTTTTTTTTTTTTTCTATTTATAAGTACTTAAACATGAGATTCATTACAAATTGTTCCTTAGTGGTAAATAAAAAAGGAGTGTGTTGTAGTAATATTTTTATAATGGTTTTAAAATCAAATATTAAAGAAAATCGTAAATATTTTTTTAATGAATCGTTTGATAATTCATACAAACTAACAATAAATAGGTATAAACTATTCGGAAGTGTCCATCATTTAAGAATGGGAAGACTAAATAAAGATGTTATAAGACAAACATTCCTGCAGTATCTAAATGATGTATAAGTTATTTAGTAATTAATAATAAAAATATGTTGTTAATTTAGTAAAACTATAATTTGATCTTAAAAAATTATTGATTAAATTAACAAATCATTTTATTTATTTAAAAATATTTCTAATGGCGTATTATTTCAAAACAACAAAATTAATTGTTGAATTAACCATCAAATTAACAAGGCAAAATGTTGTTATACCAACAAAATATTAATAAAGACCTAAAAGTTAAAGGTGCCTACTTATATAGTACCTATCTAATTATCCACCTAAGGTAAAGTCATCAACCGGTAGGTTGTAGGTAGATAGTACAATAATATTATTTAATAACATAATAAAACGTATTCTGATGAAAGAAATATATCATTATAGCGAGTGTACCTACCTTTATATACGACAGTACTTACACTACGAATTCGTTAAAGCGCAACGATCATCGTGGTTAATGAGGAATCGGTGCATTATGTATAGGCTACCTACCTACAGGCGAGGACTGGTTAAAAAGGGCGAAGGACGCTAGGCACATAATTTTAGGGCAAATAACAACAATTATCTGGACAATAAGACAAATTTAAAAAACTGACATACTCTGTACAATAGATGAGTCATTTATGTAAGTTGGAAACGTACTAATTTTATTTATAACAAATTAATTGAGGGATTTTTTTTTTTGATATTGATAGCAGAGAAACAGTGTAGATTTTGGTGATCAACCGGGTTTTTGGTTAACTGGTGTCTAACATTTTTTAGTTTTTGTCTTGTGAATTTGAATGCTAATATTATTAAAATGTTATAACATACAAAACAACAAATAACTATATTTTAGTAATTGTTTAACGAACAATTTATGGAAAATAAAAATAAGAAATACATGGTAATATTTAGGTGAAACTGTACATGTGTTTATAAAATAGTGAACCCCCCATGACATTTTCAAAACCTGGCATCTCTGGACCCACCGTATTCACGCACGCACTATTGTAATACAAAATAATCAATGATATATTGAATTGTTGTAAATAAATTATTTATAATCTATATTTTATAATAGATTTAACACCTTTTATTATATTATCATAGAATTATAACTTTCCCATTAAAAATTAATATTCATTTTAAATTGATTGATTAAGATGAATTTATACCGATTCGAACATTGGATCATCCCCCGCACCCCCGCTAGTCCGCGCTTGCCTACCTATTTTTTAACGTTCTGACTTCTGTAACTTGGATACCTACTGACGATACTGACTTCGTTGAGAGTATTTCTGAACGTTCGTAAAATATTGTACAAGTAAGCATAATTTTATAGCTATTATAATAATATTCGATTCCGGACGGGAGCCGCGGCTGAAACGCTCTTCTCTAGTTATCGCAGCTGCTATTGTCCGTCCAATAAATAATATTTTAATAACAATTTCTACAATAATCATAATTCATTATTACGGCCTGTGTAATACAAAAAATACGCTGTGACTGAACATTATAATATTATGTGTGTACTGTGTATCTATACCTACTTACATTGTTTTTTCCTTCGCGTCGTTATTATCGTTTTATTATTATTTCAACAATCGAAAGCGAATAATCGGACAGATGTTGTGCGTACATTGTTGTGCCCCCACATATTATAATAATTATATTATTATTATTATATCTTACGTAATATACAACGCACACACCAGTGAAGATATTCTTACTTAATAAGGGTAATACACCCTCGGGGTTGATAGGTGTTAATTTCTACGAACAGTGCACTGTGAATAAGAGGCTCCGGTATACTTACGCACGTGCTAGTACCTAGGTACCACCTATAGCAGTACAGCAGGATAGTACACATATCTATATGCAGGATATTTTGGAAAAATATTCCAAGACAAAAAGTCTAAAAATAATTTATTATACAAATATAACAAAACAAAAAATAGATGAAAATATAAATTATTCATTGTAATTCCTACTCATATTTAATTAATTAATAGCTTGTCAATTCGGTCAGTCGGTATAACTGCAGTAGTACCAGACACGCCAAAGACTCCGGAATTAAATTTAACTTGGCTGTAATTATGTGATTTCCATTAAAATTCATTAGGGATTCATAAGGGATTTAACCAAGTAAAATTGTAATTAACAAAAATGAATGCTAAAAAAGTTGTACATTTGTTTTAAGTAGTTACCTACCTAAAACATTAAAACATTACTGCTTGTATCAAATTTTTAATTTTTAAACTGCGATTATTAACATTTTAAACATTGATTTTATTAGAAAAATGATTTCAGAGGTACAAAACTAAATAAAAATCATCTTTAATAATTATGTTTGAAAACAAATATAATTTTAATAAAAAAATTATCATTTTTTTTTTTTTTTTTACATATTTATATTTTACTTATTTCCTTTGCCCGATGAAGTAAATATTGAAATATTTATATTGAATATTTAAAGATTTATATATTATAATAAAATAATCTATTTTAGACTAAATATAAATCTAATTGAGTTTTAATAGGTATTCAACATTTTCAAATGTCTATAATATATTTGAGCAATTTAATTCAACAAGTAAACATTAATTTACTAATATACAGTAAATATAGTATACCTACTAATGTATTGAATAGGAAACCTAATAAGATACCTATAATAATTGTATAAAATATATTATGTAGCATATAGGTTATGTTCAAAGCCGCACACCCAAACCAAACCAAAATTTGAAAATAATTATTTAAGTACTAAATTAAATGTTTTTGGATCAGAATATCTAGATATTCCCAATCAAATATACAAATATAACTACCCCATAAAAATATTATTTTTATTCATTATTTGTAATTTTTAACAACATTACTTTAGTCTGATCTGTTATAGCTGAACTCTTCATTTAATAAATTCAAATCTCTGAAACATATATAATTTTAATTAATATTTTGTCTTTAATACATCTGTTAATGGATATTAATAAACTTAAATATCAGCAAATAATTAAACTATATATCTAAATTTAAATATTTTTTTTGTATTGGAAAAATTATAATAATTTGGGTTTTAACAGAATGCATGTGGGCTGTGTGTATAAAAACAAATTAACAATAGTATATTTACCTATTGTTTACAACTTTTAATAAGTCTGGACGTTCTGCCATTGAAATAGCCAGACGCAATGTACTCCAAATAGTATCTGATAAAGCTGGACTTTGAAAATTTGTACGTACAACAGATGCCTGTTGGTTAAGAGCTTCTAATAAATGTTCTATAGCTTCCCTATAAAATACAAACATATATAAATGTATATTTTAAACAAAAATTATAATTATTTACTTATTAATTAACTTGGGAATGATTGATGAGAATTAAAAATAGTAAATTTAAAAATATTTCTTAAGAAATTTCATAAAATTAATTTTAAAAAAAAACCTGTAGGTATTAAGATGAATACAAGTTATTCCTAGATTATAGCGAGCTCTGACAAAACCGGGGAGTAATTCCAAAGCATTGTGATATGCCTCAATAGCTTCTTCACAACGACCACCATTGGCTAAAGATGCTCCTAAACGGTTCCATAAACGAGCATCCTATAAAATGTTAAACAGCTATCAATTATTTTTTGAAAAAAAAAAAAAATCATTTTACTCACTGTAGGTCTTATTTGCAGAGCAGCTTTAAAACAATCAACTGCTTTATCGTTCTCACTATTAAGATTAAGCAGTACACCCAAACCATTTTGGACATCTGCATCAACAAATCCTGTTTCTAAACTTCTCTGAGCCGCTTCTATATACATATCTTTTACAGTTTCATATAATTTCCTAAAAAATAAAAAAATATTGTATTACTGTATTAAAATAGAAAAATGGTGGACTTTAAATAACTTAAAACAAAAAAAAATAAAAATAAAAATAGCAATTTTATTTGGTGAACTACTTAGGTAATACTTAGAAATGTATTATTATTTTAAAACAGATATCAATGAAAATCATTAAAAATCATTTTAAAAATGATATTGTAATATCAAATATCCATAATATTCAAATATATATGCACTAAATTGCTTGATGAAACATTTATGTAATTTTCACTACTTTAAAAGAAACTTCTTCTTCAGTTTATCAGTATGTTGGAGATCATTGCTGTCATCACAAAACCTCTAAAATTCTCTCTGTCGTATGCCTATATATTATATAGTATATATGTATGGCTATAACATATATCCATCGGTTGTGAGTCTTCCTAATTGTTTGTTTATTTTTTTAACCAATACTTCTTTCATTATTTGTCCTTCCGCTCTCCAAATATGACTAAACCATTCTAGACGTTTGTTTCTAATGTATGATAAATATTTGATCTGTTATAAAATTCATGTAGTTCTTGAGTTGTTCGTATGTTTGAAACTCTGCATTACATTTTAGGCCACATAATATGTTTCTCATTAGCTCGAAAGTAAATAGTTTTCTATATTCTTCTTTGATCAGCGACCCGGTTTTCGCTCTAGCATATAACTACTGGTTGTAAAAAAAGAAAAACTAAGGTACATAAGATACAAGAGTGTCTTCAAATTGTGTAATAGCCATTTTGACCTAAGACGTTTTATAATGCTATAATAACACTAGTTTTAACAATAAATCAAATAGGAAACATCAAAATACATACGTAGTAAACATATATTTAAACATATTGGTATCATCTGCTATTGGTTTTGATTTAACAATATCAGTGTATTTTGGATTTTGATTCAACCATTCCTGAAAATTAAAATACATGATTATGAAATGATAATAAGGATTATAATAATGAAAAAAAAATACTATAATATTTCAAATAAGTGATTTGTTTTTACCATTAGCATCTGACAAGCTTGTAAATTTTGACTTTCATTTGTATAACAAGCTGCTAAACAAAGTACAGCATTTAGATTTTCTGGTTGTATTTCTAGACACTTATTTAATGCATTTATTGCTAACTGATCCTAAAATAATATATAATATATACGTATGTTTAGTAAACGGAAATAAAACAACTATTTATCATATAACTAATATACTATATATTAATAGGTAACAAAATACAAGTAGGAATTATTTTATTATGTGTTAATAATTAATTGATAAAAAAAAAATTAAAAAATAAAGATAGAGAAAACTTAGATTTTAACAGAATCTAATATGAGACCACCTTATATTCAAATTACTTTTATTACCTGGATTAGATTAGGTTTACCAATAAAAAAAAGCCCCCTTTGAATTTACATATTTTGTATGATCATTTTTTAATGCTAACATTTTCCTGCCCCATAATTAATATCCTGTGGACTGATATGATTCACAAATGATAGGAAAAAAATCTTCGAATTAAATCATTAGCAAAGTTTTACATAGTTGACCCTACCCTTCCATTATAATCTTTTTATTTTATTTTTTTCGTCAATATGTAGCCGTATTAATTATGGTAATCCAGAAATAAACAAAAAAAAAATTATTATGCTTATATAATTCAACATATGCAATATTTGTTAAGTACATTTTTGTACGCAATGAAAAAAAATACTTAGTTTCAAAAATATTTTAGTAATGAATTTACTAACTTGCTCATTTTCAGCTTGAGTAGTACCTAAAAGCTGCCATGCCTCTGCACTAGAAGGGTCTTTTTTAACAGCTGCTTCAAAACATAACACGGCCGTAGGTAGTTCACCGTTTTCCAATCGACGTTTTCCTTCAGCCAACGGATTTTCTATTGATACCATCTCATTATCTGTAGTAAAACAATATTCCTAAACAGCAATAAAAATATATTGATATTATAAGGTATACATAAAATTTTAAAGTATAAGCAAATATTTTTCTGTAAACTTTAACATATTCACTTTTTGATTTTCGGCATTCTTTATTTCCTCAAACTCAGAAAACCAGTCGTGAAGGTTTGAGCTTTCATCTACTATTTTAAATTTATTTTTGCTAGTCTCTGTACTTTTTACACATTCAGCTTGCTGATCATTCAAAATTGGATTTACTGTTTCTGAGGTACTTGATGAGATTATGTTCTTAAGCTTTAATTCATTTTGATAGGCTAATCCATACATATCATCCATATGGTCCTGATTATAATTTTGATTGGCAAATAAATTCCAATAAGGTCCAAAATGATTATTTAATTGTATACCAAAACTATTATCAACTGTCATTTTCTTATAAGACTCCTGAAATTAATCAAATCTAGTTAAAAGCTATCTATATCACAAACATATTTTCTTTTGATCTTTGTTTATGGTAAATGAAATGTGTAAAAATTTTAAGAAATAGGGTTTTATTTTAAGTTAACAAGTTACTACCAAAATATTATTTATACTTTTTTTTATTTATATAGATACCTATATATAATGTACATATTTTATTTAATGAATTAATTTATCAGTTATTAATAAACACACAAAACACATGTATTAAAAAACTACTAGACAATTTGAATGCTGTGTTTGTTCCATTTTTATAGAAACAAAAGTGATAATTTACAAGTATATGGCAAATATTTTGGTAAATGAACATAAAAGTGTAATTTTATTCAGGATAAAATTTTGGGTTAATAAGTACTAAATATCTATTCAAAAAATTACCATTAAATCATCATATTTTAAAGGATCAGTATTATAAGTATTTAAAGTATCACTTCTCTTGTCAAAATCCAAATGTGACTTAGTAGAGTTAGCCCTAAAATCATTTAATACAAATTATAAATTAGGTAACAAATTTATATTTGCTAAACACTAGATAATTTCAATAAACAGCTTACACTTGATTTGGAAAAGATTGTTCAATTTCTTTTATCCATTCAGAATTATAACCAAAATCATAAACTTCATCTTTAACCAGCATTTTATTTTCTGATGAGCTCCAAATATTTGGATCAATAGTTGGTTGTTCCTAATAAGTAAACACATTTAAATTTCAAAAAAAAAAGATACATCAAACATATTCACATTCCTATACTATTTTCATAATAAGAACACACTGCTCCACGCATCCAAACAGCGCTAGGCTTTCTGTGATTGGTTATTCATAATTAATTAGTAGAGAAATGTGCGCACATGGACTGATTTTAGTCCGCTGCCCGGTACGTTCTTATTCTTAAAATAGTATAAGTAGACTACTAATTTTACTTGTTAGAATCCGAACATCTGTGCAAGTCAATATTTTGTTAAATAATGTTTAAAAACAATATCATAAATAATTACATTTTAAAAAATTATACTGAATACTGTTTAAAAAAACGTCCTAAGATAATAAGGACGGGTACAGCCACTGTTATAGATAATTTAATGTATACCTGTAAGCAACAATGAACCATTGCTTACGAAAAAACGATTCTGAGCGGAGTTCAGTAGATAATGATGCTTTTTCAACAACATATATAGCATATTATAGTTAAATAATTAAGTAGGCTTGATATAATTTCTTTAATAATATTTGTTTAATGTTGTAGCGATTTTCACGGTTTTCCTGCGAAAACTATGGTGAAAATCGAAAAATAATCTCTTAAGTACCTCCCCAGTGAAATGTTCTTTTAGAAAAATTCTTATTGATAAAAATTGAGGCAAAATTTCTGGTAGAAAAGTTGTTCACAGAAAAAATGGTCATAATATTTTTAGCTAATACCTACATTTATTAAATTTTCCTGTTTTTTTTTTTTTTCAAATTTTTGATGAGAAAACTCTGGTAGTTATCCACAGAAAAAAAAAACATTTTTGTAAAACCATAAGCTCCTTCGCTCCACTCAGAATCTAAAACAATATTTTTGGTTTTATTCTCATTGGAAAATGTGTGTAAGAACTATAAACTATACGATATTAAAAATATGCTAATAGATTATATTTTATAATAAATAATAATCTAATAGTTTTATTATTTGTAATTTATTTTTTAAAAAGGGTACTTTATTTTTCCATAATAAACCAAATTATATAAAAATAGCTGGGACCCGTCAAATCTGATGGTCACTTAATTTACCGTAATATTTCAAAAATCGTCTCTCTTCGATTGTTCCTGTTTGTTTTTTAACTCGGCATATTTATATATCACCAAGATCTTGGAAATAGCGTTCAAGAACAATCAAAGAGCAACAATTTTGGAAACATTACAGACAATAGGAGTGGCCGTCGTGAATTTGACGGGTCCCAGTTATTATTATATAATTTGGTTATCACAGAAAAAGGAAGTACCCTTCTTAAAAGATAAATTTCCGGGTAACAAATGTAATAGGAATAAGTTTAAGTTCGGAAAATATTGGGTAGTTCAGAGAGTTTTTTAAAAAAAGTATCTACAAGTTGTAATTATTAACTACCAAACTAAATAAATTTATAAAACAATTTTGTTTTTAATTTAAAATTACATGTTTTTGGTTAAATACATATTTTGAGTATTTAAGTACATATTTTTTAACTTTAAAGCTACAAGTTATCTGCCCTATTTATTAATAATGTTAATGGTGATTTGAGATTCTAATGTCCTATCTCTTGTTATCAATGAGTGGTTTTTAAAATTAAACATGCATAGAACTTCAAATTTCTTATTAATTCTAATGGTATAATGTAGATATTAACTTGTTTTTCATTTTCTTTAGTAAAATGTGATGGCCAAGAATCTTCATGGATATTATTTTCAACGCTCCTCATTTCAGCTAAAAGAGTGTCCATTTTGAACGTTTCTGTTTGTGTGGAACTAAAAAACTGATCCGCCAACTAAGGAAAATAAACCAAATTAATAACATATTTCTAAGTTTCTAGGTTATTTTATCAATATTTACTTCTCCAGTACTTGCTGCCAAAAACGTTTTTTCATTGCTTTCAGTCTCCAAAGATTGTTTAAGATCTTGATCCTTAAACGCAAGGTCTTGAACAAAATGAGTTGACAATTTAACTAACGAATTGGAACCACCACAATCAGTTTCAACTAAATCATGTACAGACATTTTCAACTGAAATAATACATAAATTATGTAGTCATGTAATTAAAATTTCAGAATCAGAATTTTTAATTAATGATAGATAATATATAGTAAAAATTATAGTACCTTTATTACTTTTTTTTTTTTTTATAGTAACTTTACAGTTCTAGGTACACCAAATGTAATATTGTTTTTAGATTCTGAGTGGAGCAAGGAATATCTTTATTTTAATATGATTTTTTTTTTTTTTTATATATATATTGGAAAATTGAGGAATTTTTTTGCTTATTTTGAAAGGCCGTAATATTTACGATTTTCGTCAAAATTTGATTTTGACTCTTATAAAAAATGTAGATACTACATTAAACTCAATTTTTTATTTTTACCATTAGGTACGACTTATAATAAACCTTCGTCAAATGTTCAAGCATTTCTATACAAATTTTATCTAAAGATTACCTGCCTACAAAATAAAAATTACTTAAAAAACTAGCAAAATTTAAATACCTATATAATAATAGTTCAAAAATAGTTTAAATGTTCTTTAGTACAGTGAAAAACTGCAACTAAACTAACTGTACCTGCTACTTGTTGTTATGACATACCTATTACAATAATTAATAATTTTTAAGCTACCACTGCTATTAATAAATAACAATCTCTGCTACAATATTATAACTATAAATAGCATTAGTAGCAGTAAGAGTAAATAGCAGTTTATGATTGTTACTTTTTTATCACAAGTAAAAAATAACTACTACTAATAGCTATTTTATACATCATTAGTTGAGGTAAATGTTACATTTGTTAAGTTATAAAACTTAAAATAATATTTTTAAAAACATATTTCATTCCAATGACCATGTACACATTAGACGAGTCTAATTGTTTATAAGTTATTGAGTTATGAGTCATAATTAGGGTCCGGATTTATATACATTTCCATGTTTTTTTTTAGACGATCCAAAAAGTAGCTAGATAATCTACAAGTTTGAATTATAGTCAATAGAACTGAAATACAAAGTTTTATTTAGCATATTTTTGCATATTTTACTATTTTTTGACAAGCACTGCATATTTCTGTATTTTACGACTTTTCATTGCATATAAATGGTTTTTAAATGCATAATATGTAATATTTTGGTTTTATTTAAATTTAAAAATAATGATAGAAACATAATAAATAATATAAATAAAAAAATTTTTAAATCAAACTTGTATGTATAATTTTTTATTTGAAAAAATTAATTTTATGTAAGAATTGCTTTTCATATTGAAAAATTTCGAAAATACTATTACAAATCAATTATTTGTACCTACTTAAAAAATGAATATAGACATAATAAAAGTTAAAAAACATGTTTTTTCTTTTTGAAAATTGATTTTTTTTGCATACATTTTATTTTAAAAGGTTATATTTCTACAAAATAAGAGCATAAATACATATTTCTAAGATTTTTAAAGCATATATATCAGAGCACTAGCCATAACTATCTACTGACTATATTAATCTATATATATTCATCTTATTTTTCTAATTTACTGCTTGAAAACCCTAAAATGAATAGTATAAAATAATATGCTGTAAGTATATGTACCAAATATATGTGATTTTGTATATTTGGTCTTTGGGTTTTTTAAATAATAATTTTAGTACGTTTGTAGTTAATTTATCCATATCGGTTATTGTAAGAATATCTGATTATAGTTTTTGTAGTAGGTAAATATTAAATAAATATTTGTTAGCTTCGTCTGGGCTATTTTTTTCTAATACCATTATTAGCCATTAATTCGTGTATAAATGTTTTACGAATTTCAGTATTGAGTATTAATGAAAACTACCTGAGCAAATGCCGAAAACTAGGTACTGCAGACCTGTAGTGCCATAATCGTACTACCATGGCCATCTTCCATTAAAGCTTATCAATTTTTGTTATTATTTAATTATCACGGCTCTTATGGTCTCATTCCCTTTAATTCAAAACAGAATAAGTTAATAACACGGACCACGGTTGTAAAGTGCAGACAATGATCATATAGATATTCATTTATGATCATAGCTTGAACCTAGTAAACAAGAACAGGCTCTCCATCCGTCCGATATTACAATAGAATGAGTTAATATTTCGGTTTTGATTATTGGAATTAGTATTTCTTTATAAGTTTATTGAACGACTTATTAGATTGTAAACAGTCGTAATGGGTAAATCTTGTAACCAATACAAAATAAGTTCTGGTACCTATTTGTTCTAAATTGACTTTTGAGTTGCATCGTGCAGTATACTTAAAAAATCAATTTGTTTTTTTTATTAATTGATATAACTGACATTCTTTTGTGATGATACATCTTATAGTGCTGATTTATCGGATTTCGCCTATGACTAATCGATTTTTTTTTTTTTATGTACGTCTTAGTAACACCATTATACTTATGGCATGAATTAGTTTCATTATTTTGTGTTTAGAATTTGTTTTTATAAAAAATTTAATTTTTTAACACATAATGACAATTATTTCAATATAGAATGGAGTAAGATGACATTTGGGTAAAAACTAAAATCGAAGTACATTTATAATAAAATTATAAAGATAAGCAAGCATGCATATGGTAAATAAGTCACATAATATGTGGCTTAAGTAATATTATTAAACCTGGTAATTCAATGAGGTAACATAATAAATTCGAATTTCGCTATAGTAAGTCACATACTAAACAAATACCAAGTAATAATTATTAAATACCTAGTATTAAAAAGATGTCCATAATTTAGACTGGCTTTGCATTAAGTTATTTTACCTTTACCGATTATAAATACCACCAAGTTGGGAGGGTCCATAAGTACCTAGTATAAGTATTCCTTACCATACTGTATGTAAATTTAACTGCTTATAATAAATCATATACCTACCTATAGTAAAGTTTGTTGTCAAATTGAAATTAGTAAATATTTCCTTTTAGCATGAATGTTTTATTTTTAAATATAATGTATATGATATACATTACATTTTTTATAGGCTTACAAAAAAACACATATTCTTGGGTTTACATACATTTCTATTCATACCCACCTGTCTGTCATAGAATCTTACAAACTGTTATGTAATGTCATACCATAATTTAGTATTTCATTTCAAAATAGATCTTTTCATTTTTATTAACACATATGACATAAAGCATCTATGTAACTAAAAAAAAAACGATTAATAATAATTATTACTTATATAAAAATATTTAAGACAACAGATACAATATTTGCCATGACAAAACGAAAGTACATAAAACTGGTAACAAATTTAACAGATGTTGGTACTTTATTTAAAAGTTTTACTGTTTTATTCATAGAACAATTCAAAAATTTTCAAATGGATTACCGTTTTAAATTATGTTATTTTAGATTCTGAGTGGAGTGAAGAAGCTTATGGTTTTACAAAATTATTTTTTATTTTTTTTTCGTAGATAACTTTTCTACAAGCAATTTTGCTCCAATTTATGATAGCAATTTTTCTAAAAGGAAATTCGAACGGGAAGTACTTTGGAGAGGTAATTTTTCGATTTTATCAGTTTTCTCAACAAATGTGAAAAACTGAAAAAAAAAAATGGGAAAATGTAAGAAATCTAAGTGTTAGCTAAAAATATTAGTCTTCTTTTTTCCTGTGGACAACTTTTCTACCAGCAACTTCGCTCAGATTTAGGTACAATATAAGCACTTTTTTTAAAAGGATATCTGACTGGGAAGGTACTTTAGGGAGGCCATTTTCGATTTTTTCAAGAATTTTCTCATCAAATTTGAAAAACCAGAAAAAAACATGGGAAAACTGGTACATTAAACAAATATTATTAAAGAAAATATATAATACCTACAAAATTATTTTACCATAATATGACATACATATTCTTGATAAAGCATCATTAGCAATGGTTTATCGTTGCTTACAGGTATACACTAAATAACTTATAAGATGGCTACACCCGATCCCATTATCCTAGGATGTTTTTTTAAATTTTCATTTAAAGACAAGAATTAGATAAAAAATATATTTGACTATAATAATTATTTACAAATTAAAGGTATCTACTATGATGGTGTACTGGTTTTACAACCAATATATTTATATTTCAATTCTAAGATTTATAAGACTTGTCAAGTAATAATTCAATGGTAGCACTCATGAGTTAATTTGTCTCTATATAATATGTTCTAAAAAGATAAATGATAAAATGAAAAAAAAGCATGGACATTTTGTATAGATCATACAATTATGAACATGCAGTATACTCATTATTAATAGCAAATACCAAATAATTAACATTAGATGTTATTTCACGCATAATGTGATCAAAATAATATTACATTAATTTTAAAGTTAATATTAACAATGTTTAATATTCCCATTTTGCATACAAATTAATAGTTAAGTACACCATTTCTGATGAAGTTATGGAATCATCGACTGTTGAAAGAGACAAGGCGCAGTGTCGAAGTTGAAGACACACATGCAGTAGAAAATATATTTAATAATACTTAAGTTAATTTTAATTTACATATAGAATAAATAAAAAAAAAGACATCATAAAAAATGTATCTCTTATTTTACTTTGCTTTTATGGCAAATATTACAAAATAATTTATAACCAAATTAATTCTAAATTGAGATAAACACCACATATTTTAAATAAATGACAGTTGTGGTAAATCAAATTGAATTACATATTTAACTAGATATAATTTAATAATATTAGGTAAATAATAAACACAAAAATAAACATTTAGTTAAAATTTCATTTAATCACCCAAAATAATAATAATAGTATATACTTTACAAATAAATACTTTCTAACATTAGTGTACAATAATTAACAATTATACACTGACTAACCAACTATCCTTGTCCTTAATTAAATAATTATATCAATATTTGTGTTTATAAAATAACAATATTATTTACAACAGTTTAAAAATTTGACTATAGTTGCAATGTGTATTAGTTAGGTACAATAAAATATATGAACACATTATTTTAAATTTAAATAATACATTGTTATAGTAAAATAACAAAATATATTAGTTAAATATTAAAGATAATAAACTACAAATAAGGATATGTTTGGTATTAATATAGTATATTTAGTAATTTACAAATAATTAAAGTACCACAGACATTAGATAAAAATAATTTAAATTAATTTTACAATTCTTAATAATAAAACAGACGTTTCAGTAGAGTAAATAATAGTCTTCTTTTGGTTTCAATAACGGATTAGTTAGGTATTTTAGAAAATCAATTTTTAACATAGCAAACAAGTATTTATAATAATAATTAGTTTTATTAACAAAGTTTAAGTAATATAAAAGTTAATTTGGCAAAGAAAATTATTATGATAATGAATCATCTTTAATAATATGGTTGATGACAGTAAAACCATGTTACCTATTCAATTACTTAGTATATTAAAAATGAATAGTACCTACCTTAATATTATAAGTAATAATTAAAATAGATAACAAAATTCATTCATATCATATGCATATATTATAAACCAGTTATTTTACATTTTATTTTATTTTTATAATTCCTACTGATTTTAATATAGGTATACCTACTAACTGAATTTAGTTTACAATTAAAAAGTTATATCATACTTTAAAAATTTTAAAAAATGATAGCAAATGTAGTTTTCAAAGTTGTTAAATAAAATGTGTATAAGCAAAATCAAATTGTTTACAAAAAAAAGAAATTGTAATAACATATATGTAGTTAAAAAAAAAAAAAGTTAAGTTTGTTCAATGGGCAACAAACTGAAAAATAACTAAAGGCAAACAAAATATAAAATTTATACGAAAGAGATCAAGACATTATAACACTTTATGGACCAATTATATTGCCATCTATCGAATGTTTGTAAAAAGATTTAATTTTGACTTAGGTTCCTTTTGTGAACGTGCTTTTGAAAAAATATTCCAAAATCGTAATGTTTCGTCTCCAGCTCCTGTTACTATAGATTCTCCATCTGGGGACATAGATAAATATAATACCCTGAATGTATGACCTGTGAGTTTAGCAATTTGGCTCATTGAAGGATATTTCCAAACGACTATTTGATTTTGGGAATATCCATGTGTACTAACTAACTCTTGAGTATTTCTAGACCATGCTAGATTGCAAACTTGTGATCCGGTATCAATACATTGCATTGGTTGTCCAGTTAAAGTGTTCCAAAAACGTATACATTTATCAGCTGTTCCTCCACCACTAGTTAGTAATCCTCTTTGATGTGGAGACCAAGCAATTGCTTTTACAGCAGCAGTGTGTTGGTTGTAAGTCAACTGTGGAGTATATGCATGAGTATTCCACACATACAGTCTATTATCATTTCCTCCAGATGCAAGGTATCGGTTATCTGGTGACCATTTTAAACCACACACCTCTTGCCGATGACCAGTATATCGCCTACAGGTTGAGAGACTCGGCCCTCTCATATCTCTTAAAAAAATGTTACGATCACGACTACCTGATGACACACAATCACCATTCCAGGCGATAGCGCCTACTCTACCAGCATGACCTGTTAAACTATTAACTTGCTTTTCTGCAGCGATATCCCAAACTTCTACAGATCCTTCCTGAGTACCAAAGGCCAAATAGTTTCCTTTATCATTCCAGGCAACTGAAGTAACAACATTTCCATCGGAAGACAAATCACTAATTCTTGTTACTTTACTTGTAGTTGCTGACCACAAGTACACACAACTTCCTAGCCCAACAGCAAGTAAATTTGAAGATGACCAATCAACTAAATTTAAATAAAAGTCATCTTGTAGTTCAGGAGCATCAAGGACTTTATACGGCACTCTAGAAATTTTGCGAGGTATTTTACGTGGTGAGCGTAAAATCTCTTGACTTTTAGCACCAAGTGGAGATAAAGAATAGGGAGCCCTTGATTGAATATTATCAACTTGTTCTGGACTAGATGAATAAAACTGAAACAAATTACGTTTGATGGCTAAACGATCACGGTTTTTATCTTGAATACTTATTTCCCCAACGCTTGATCCAAGCAGTTCATTATGAAGAATGGCTTTGTACGCACCATCTTTATTCGCTGATTCACTTTGAAAATCTTTCTTACCATAATCTGAACCATTCCTAATATCTGATATAATGTTAAACCTTGCTGCAAGGTTATGTGCCTCTCGATAAGGTATAAATCGATCAGCTCTAAAACCACTAAATGCAGATTGCTCATAAGTTTGAACATATGTACTCGGTTGATCAGTTTTAAATTTCTTAAAAGATTTTAATTGACTTGGATCATCATCAACCTCCATATCATCAAGCCTTTTAAAACCTAATAATGTATTTTCTTTTTCTACAGATTGTGGTTTAGATTCTGCGGCTGCCTGCATTTGACGGTTTTTCAGTACAACATAGTCTGGACTTCTGGACAGCTGCGCCCTCAGTCTCATTGCAAATGTCGGATCCATTCCTTCATCCATTTCTGTATCTTTATAAATGCCTAACAAATAAATTCCCATAAATGTATTATTAACAGTAGGTCACTTTTAAATATTGCCTACCGCTATAGCAGTAATATAAAAACCGAAAATTATCAGTATTTCTGTAGTAATAATATTTTTATTGATTATAAAAGTGGGTTAGTTGTTTTTATATTATACCAAATTCTTATTCTACAGAAATTGTATACTTGACTAGTTTATACATACATTTCTTTTTTAAAGTAATAATTTCTACTAAAAAATTACTGCTATAGCAGCAATAATTAAAAAAGTGACGTTTTAAAAAATTGTTGTATTATGGTAGTTAATTTAATAACCATCAACATGTTAAAACTTAAAATGTAATAAACTACAACTAAATGAATGTTAGGTAATGAAAAATATTTAGAGTTAGTTACAGTTTAGTACACAATCTAAAAGGTAAATTAACTAAGTACTACTACTAGCAAACACTCAAAATTGATAAAAACAAATTTGAATAAAATATACTATTACATACTATTTATCCTAAGTTCTTCTATAAGTTCTATCTGTTTCACAGATGTTGGATATCATATTCGCAATGTTGTTCCTACCCAATGATTCCCGAAATAAATCATTTGATTACTATTTTATTACCTACATATTATTTGTAACTAATAAATCTAAATGAAAACATTAACTTTGCGATTCGGCAGTTTTCAACCAGAAATCTTGATCCAACCATAAATACCAGTAGTGGTTTTTAGTAGACAATTTTGTTTAGCAAATGTTTTTATAGACTAGTCCTTTCTTGATTTTCTTTTTCCTTTTCTTAATTATGGGGGAAACCAGAAACAAATCAGAATATTTATGAAACAACAATTTCTGTTAAAACGATCACTTGTTTTCATTTTTATAGATGTAATTCAGTGAAAAGTAATCCGAGTGAACTGAAATTTTCTTCAGACATGTTATAGATGTAGCATTTTGATAACACTTTTTTAATTTTTTTTTAATTTGGGTGTTTGGTGGTAAGTAACATGATTCCTCAGATTCCTAAGTACTAATATACAACATATACACGCATGCACACGTGTGTGTAAATTACATTAAACCCCTCTTCAAATTAAGACTTAAATGAGTCATTGTATACTCACATATAGATTCTATTTTGTTCAAATTATTTATTATCAACAAATGATCATATTAATAATCAGGTCCACTATATTATAACTGTACTATGATGTTGTTAGGTTAGCTAAGTAACAAAAATCAAGTTGTGAAGGATAATATTTTGGTGAGAGTATGTATATAATATAATATTTTTATTCACGTGTAATACATTTATAATATAGAATGAAATATATATATTAGCATAAATAACAATTCTGAAGTTTCTTCAAATTTATTTCCAATGAAAATACGTTTTGGATGATTTACTACTTTAACATAATATTATGTTTCTGCTTAAATACACAGCAAACAAAATATGTTACCAACTCCCAAAATACCTTTTGGATGTAATATTTCTTCAGCATATACTATTTCCGTACAACATAGAAAATTTGTGTTTAGCAGTGACAATTTTATGCTGTTAGGGTTAATATTAGAGTAAATTAACCTTTTATAAAATTTAAAGATAAGAACATACATTATCTCTGCTAAAACATTTGTTTTTTTCATTACATTGTTAATTTTAAGTATATGAGTATGTGAATTATTACAATTTAAAAATGCATAATGTAGATGGTATACCTATGTACTAATAAATATTAATACACTTAAATGTTACAAAATATATTATGAATTCATAAATTCAAAAAAAATATGTTTTGAGTGTTTGCTAAAAAAATGTCTTTATATTTTTAATTTTGAATATACCATGGGCCTTACATTACCACCAACATTATCTACTTTAATATAGATAATAATATTTTACATAAAATGTTTGACATCAAGGCTATTAGCAAGATTTTAAACCCACATGTTATCATTGAGTATAGATAGTATTATCAATACTCAAAGATATTATATTTGTATAGTTATTTTGAATTTTTTTAAGTAGTTAGTAGTTACTTACTAACTAATGAATCATGTCCAGTGTTTATTTCAGGGGGTGAATGGGGAGAATGTATACCACCCTCCAAAAATGTATGACATTACTATGTATATTATATATGATAAGGGTTAATGGATGAATATAAGTTATCTTGTTGACAATAAAAAAAAATATTGTTATATAAATAACCGTATTTTAACAAGATACAAAAAAGTCATTATTAACTGCTTTATCTTAATTTTGTCTAGAAATATAAAAATTCCTAGATTCGGGTCTGCCTTTGGCATAATCCCTTAGAAATTTACGATATCCCCTGGGGATAAAGGTTTGCAATAAACACTGATTATGTCTGTTCAATTTAAATTGGTTAAATATAAAACTACTTAAAATATTAAGTACAGTACGATGATTTATTAAAATTATACAAGTCAATTTCTATATTTACGTAATATCAATGATAAAATATGATAATAAGAAAGATAATTTTAACATTTTGCTACAACTACCTCCACAAAATATTCTTAATAATATTTCTTATCACAACAGTTCTAAAATCTAGATACAAAGGTCAAATGTTTGATATGACTTTTAAAGTCCCCTCATATTTATACTAAAAACAAATTGATAAGCTAAATCAACATTTTGTTAATCACTTAACAAATAAACTCGGTATCAAACTTATAGAATCTGCACATAAAACCAATCAAACAAAATAATGTAGAAAAACAAATTTTTTTAAATCTCAGTTTATTTAAGCTTTCTAGGAAAATTCTTTCATCCTCTTGTAATGAAATAAAATTTTCCATTTAAAAATACATTTGTTTTTCTTTGATTCTGAATTTTCTTTGTTTAAGTTACAACAATATATTGTCTAAATATTATTGTACATTGGTAAAATCGGCAGTAGAAATTCATTCAAAAAATATAACAAACTAAACGAGCAGGAAAATTATATGCCATTATACATAATTACAAATTAAATCAACAATATCAAAAAACCATGTTCTAAGCCGAGATCAAGATGCAAATAGACCAGATTTTGTTTCCGTGCATTCCATCTAAATCTCAACAACATATTGAAGTATCACAATTATCTTCTCAAAGTGAGAGAAGTTAAACAAGTGATATGGACACTGATTTGGAATCATCATCTGTGACCACTGAGTTCACACAAGTGAACCTGTCTTAAGTCAAAATGATACTGATGATTAAAATTTGGTTTAATAAGATTTTTATATTGTATATTTTACAATTTATGAACAACTGTGATTTTATTTTAAATTTTTTATATTTTTTATGAGACAGGCCTCAATAAAAGTAAAGACTAAATTTTATGTTTAAGATTCTAATATTTTTACAGATTAGTTTATTTAGATGGAAAAGATACTGAACGTTATGTTTATATAAATGTTTTTTTTTTATGGATAAAGGTCTAGTTAGACCACTCACTATAGTTGTTATGTCAAACATAATCATTTTTGTTAAACAAATGTATTAGTAGTGTTTTAAAAGTTTAAGTTTTTTAATTATTATATTTATTAATTTCCTTATTTAAGTGGTTTTGGTTTCAAAGTGAATGAAATTAACACAAATTTGATAAATATAAATTTATTTACTCTAATTCATCTTGAAAAAACATGGAAGTCAGGAAACAATCACAATATCCATAATGAGGTATGTTGGCATCTATGAATTGGTTTTTGCATTAAAAATAAATTTACCCAATTTACCGAGCAAATATTTAGTATTTAACCAAAATTGTATTCACCCATCACTAGTAATGACTACTGTCAATCATAGCACTTATAGGGTAAACTAAGAAAACTGTACTAACTCAATAACAAAAGCAACAAAGTCTGCATTCTAAATAGAGTATACTAAATATCAATAACTGAACTATACAAATTTCATGAAACCAATTTTTTTTTTATTGTATTATTATAATAATTATCCACTAGGTATATTAACACAAACATCCCTATAGAATAACCTCAATCAAAATATGAAAAAACCAGATATAAATTATTCCTGGATAAATATTAATTTTGATTTAAGGAAAATATTTTTCTGAATATTTAGGTACCATTAATTAGACAATAAAACATTTTGTAAATAATGTAATTAATAAACCAATTTTAGATTAAATGTGTCTATACAAAATAAAGACAAGTTATATCTATTAGCAAGTAAGTAATAACATTCTGAATAATATAGCATGCATAATTAATGTTCCTTGAATTAAATTAATGCCATGATAGGTCATGATGTTAGGTCAATGACATAGTTAATATTTACAGAAAATGGATATTTGTAAAAATACACTTTTTTATTATTAAAAATAAATATAAATTATAATAAATAATAGTATTATTTAAATAATTAATAAAATATAAGTATATTTTTAGTATTTGAATCTGAAGATAATAAGTAGGTACAATATATCCATGCAATTGCAATTAATATAAATTAAAATGTAAGCCACTATGCAAGTCATCAAACTCAAAGAACATAGAATCTATATTATCATTTTATCACTGTAGGAGACCCCTATGGATTGAATAATAGATTCCATGACAGCAGGAGGTAAATATATTCGCGGTAAAACAATGGAAATTTTTTTGAAAAATATTTATCATTGAAACAAAAATTAGTTTTTTATTTACTATGTTTGATTATCGGTGGAATTTAATAACTAAAGAAAAAAAGTTATAAAACTGCATCTAAAATAAAACAAAAAAATAGACATTCAATTGTTTTCTGTAGATGAGTATCTAAGTAGGTACCTATATACAGATAAGATAGGTAGGTATCAACAAAAATAAATTTAAATACATTTTTATTATGTTAGTTTCAAAAAAAAAAAAAAAATATATATATATATATATGTTATTAATTTATTTAGTTACATTGTAGGTACCTAGTAAAATTGCAAGTCAAAATATCATTACTACTTTATTATCCTCCAACATAAAGACGTAGATTTCGTTTTATTTTAACTTGTTTACATTATAAACATCAAAATATGTTTAGTTTGAATGTTATCCGCTAATAGCCTTTTGGTCCAGAATAAACGTAGTAACGTATTTTAAGTATGTAAAATAATGATTATAAAAAAAAAATATAGTTTAAGATTATAATAATAAAATACAATAAACTCACTGGTACGACGCTGACAAAAGTTTTAACGTGGCCTCGATGATTGTTGTTAATTTGTAATACTCTATCGTTCGATGGACTTGGTATAGATACTTACAGGAACATTTTTTATCGATTAAATATTTAAATATATTATTATTAACAATACGTGGACTAGGTGCCAACGTCGGATAGATATCACAGCGAATGCATAAGACAATTGAAAGAACAGACCAACATACTAAAATATTCCTGACTGATCGAAAGACGTAGATAACGCGTCTAAAGGAAACTGAACAAAAGTGCTATAAAACCAGCCGCTAGAAGACCAAAGGGAAAAATTATATGACACATTATTCCGAACAATCGATTTTTTTTCACACGTTTCATACGTTTGGGTACAGTGTTACCATGCATGTAGACAAAAATATGCAGAACAATACTCGGAGATCACAATTTTATTTTATAGCTAGAATTTAAAATTATGTTTTAAATATTTTTCAAACCACATAATATTACAACACTCAAAATATAATTTTTGAGCTTCATTTATTTTCTTTATTTTTAAAATAATTCTACACATGAAATTTGTTTAATCGCAATTCGCAAGGTCATATTCAGTAATCAGACGGTCTATTTTGATAAGAATTTTATTTTTCATATTAAACGTCAAGAATTTATGTTGAATATGGTGTAAAAATTTTCAAGTAGTACATTGAGTTAATTTAATTATAACCAATAAAATGACTATTTGGAGCTCATTGAAGCTCGGATCAACGATCACCAAATGTTTAAATCAAAAGAAAATTGATGTGCTCAAAACATCAGGTAATTTGTGACCCTAGTTATTTAGTCATCTTTGATTATAAAATCTCTTTTTTATTGACTACTCGTTAATTTTATGCTGACATAAAATGTAATGTTCATCTACCAATATTATTTGTTTATAAATCCAATCAATATTATTTTGTACAGTGGATTCCGTTTAATGTGGGTACGTTGGGACCAGTTACATTTGCCCACATTAAGCGATTTCCCATTTTAACCAAAATAAGTATCATCATACATTAAAATCAGGACTAGATCATTATATCGATATGAGGTGGTTGCTTACATTGAACAATATTAAATTGAAATCCACCGTATTATGATTGTTTTAATATAGCTGGGACTCATACAGTTAAGTTTATTATTGACCAAAATAAAGATAATTTTCAATACATAGTGTAAAAATTGATTTATTTAGTTAAAATGATATTTTTTCTATGTTTATTATCATCTACTTAACTTATATGATAATAATTTTTAACATTTTTTTTTTTTTTTAAGGCCTTTGAGACCATCTTGCCATAGAACAAATCCTTCCCCATTCTTCTCTATTCTCTGCTACCTCCTTCCAATCCATGTGATTATATTCCACTCCACCAGCACTTAGGAAATCTTTTTTAATTCCATCTTCCCAGCGTAGCCTTGGTCTACCCAGTGGTCTTTTTTTCCTTGGGTTTTCTTGGAGTACCCTTTGAACCATTGAATCTTGCTTCCTAACTGCGTGGCCTGCCCATTCCAGCTTACTCCGCTTGATCTCGTTTATAATATTTGGTCTATTGAAAAGCTTCGTCAGTTCTTGATTATGCCTTTTTTTCCATCCTTGAAAATCTTGGTCATATATAGGTCCATATATTTTACGAAGTACCTTCCTCTCAAAAACCGCTAATTTATCCTCCTCAGTCTTTCGTAACGTCCAGCATTGTGAACCATACATGACTATTGGTCATATGATTGTCAAGTACAGCTGAGTCTTAACCTCTTTTGACAGGACTTTCGAGCTTAGTAGTTTACCAACTGCATAGAAGCATTTATTTCCCATTTTTATTCTTTGTTGAATTTCGATTTGACATTCATTTTTCTGTGTTAGAATCCTGCCCAGGTATTTGAACTCTTCCACTTTTTTGAACTTGTACTGACCAACTGTTATGGTTTCGATTACCTGAAGGTTATCTAGTTCCTTACTAACTTTCATGTACTGTGTTTTATCTATGTTGAGATGTAGCCCTACCTTCTTTGCCGATTCTATTAACCTATTTTTAACATTAGAACAATATTTAATTTAATCACTTTAATATATTTTTTTAGCTCTTGTTCCGGCTCGTAACATGGGTGGCCATCATTTAATGCCCATTAAAGAAACTCGCTGGCAATGGACAAAGTTCAAGGATTTAATTCATTTTTACGTCTTAGTTGGTGTTATTCCATTAACATTGCTCATTACTTATGTTAATGTTTTCATTGGTCCAGCAAAATTAGCTCCAATTCCTGAAGGCTACAGACCAAAGCACTGGGAGTATTATCGGGTGAATTTATTAATAATAATTAAATAATTATCTTGATCATTAAATATTAATATTGTATTTATTATATATAAATTTATATACTGTTGTATTAGCATCCTATTACCCGATGGATGGCTCGTTATATTTATCCCAGCCCACAACAGCAGTATGAAAAATATTTACATGCATTATTTGAAGAAGATGAAAAATTCAAAATTAGGTAAAATAAATAATTAATTTGTATGTAAATTATTAACAAAGCACCAGAATACATAAAATAAAAAGGTTTAAATAATTAACATATCACTCAATTACTAATTAATAGTAAATACTAACCTAATCTGAGTAGGTATAATTTAATTATTTTATTCTGCCACTAAACAATTATGTGTGATTTTTTATCTATAATTGTATTGTAATCTATCTTTCCATTTTTCAGGATGGTAGCTAGAAAAGTTGAAGATATGATGAAAGAAAACTCAGACTACAAATCATTTTATTATAGACCTATTTCTGCTAACATTTACAAAGTTAGTAAAGAAAAAATAGAAAATACAGAAACGGACGGTTTCAACTAATTACATACATTTGAATGATTTTTATTTAGAAATTGTTAATTTTGATAGTATAAGTATTATAACAAAAATTTAAAAAATACTAATATAAATAGTTTTAAAAAAAAAAACAGATCATTTTTGTACTTTACATTGTTAATCTAGAAAGCAATAAATTAACTGTCTAGCCAGTTTAGGCCCAACCAACTTTGCATATTCTGTAATCAGTTCATCTTGGTTTTTCTTATTCAACCTTTTATATATTGTATAACTCATTAATGTACCAGAATACAATACTGGAATCTAAAATCAAAAAAATTATATAAAAATAACTTAATATAAAGTTCATGTACCATTGGTGTAAATATGAGAGTAGTTATGTTCATTGGATTATCTCTTTTAAAATTAATTTAATTTGTACATGAATTTCTCATTTTGGCTATTTTATTTTTACATAACCAATAGTTAATGGTATAATTGTGTTAATAGTGTATTTAAGTTTTATAATTATAAATTATTTACATTCTCTATGATACTCTGAGTATTATTGTCATCACAGATATTTTCTGATTCATTAAATATTGAATACTTTTCGTTATCAAGTTTTTGGATGCATTTATCAATTGCATGCCATGTGTATCGAAGTGGGCACAATAGATATGATGGTTCAAATTTTGCCTTGTAACGCATTTTTGGACATGTATGTATATAAAAGCCCATATAGTAGTATTTTAATTCAGGTGACATCTTATACAATTGTCTAACCAAACATATTTCCCTGCAGTATAATCAATGTTAAATAATTTAGTTGTTGAAATATGTGATAACATATAAGACAAGTGTATACTCTACCTTAAAGTGCTGTAAGTTCCCAACACTAAATTATGATAATCAGGGTCATAAAATAAATAAACAGATGATATACATTTAGGTAAAATATCTATGACACCAACTGCTACTAACTTATCACCAAGCCAGTATTGTTGATGGAATGAACCATACCCCGGATGATCAGGATGATCTGCTTCTTCAAACTGGAAAAAATAATTTTAAACATTTGTTTGCAATAATATAAGATTTTAAATTGGAACTAGAAACATTCATAAACTTGGTGGATCGATCAGACCGACAAAATTTAAAATAAAATTATCCAATACCCGCATGTTATTTGAGTCATTGGAGAATTTATGATGCCTAAAATAAAAAGATACCTGTAAAGGTGAATCAACAAGAAATGTTAAATATTGCTCCTTATTACAGTCATGTGGTTGCTCGTTATGAACAGCCATTTGATATTTGGCAAATACCAATGCCTCAGCTGTCATTGTTTGATTAAAAGCTTCTGTGCCGGTCTTGATCAAGGACACCTTGTACACAAAACGTGTTTAATTAGTTAAGTATTGAATACTTACATGAAGAGGCGAATTAACAAGAAATCTAATAAACTGTTCTTTTGTACAGAGATCATCTGTATCACCATGAACAATAGTTTGATAAATCCTATATACTGCATACTCATCTTCAAAAGAACTGCTTGATGGGGTCAATTTTAAAAGTTTTATCTAAAATAAAATTGAATATCTTTTAGAACTATTCATTATTAATTATAATATTTCCAATTTATGTTTTATTTATTAGTTTTATTAAAACAAATCAGTTCTTATAACATATATATATATATATATATATATATATGTATACATTTTATTTCTATATTAAATATACAAAAAAAGGATTGTAAGATTTAATTTTAAATTTATAAGGTACATTGAAAAATAAAAATAATATGAAAAAAATAATATAAGGTAAAATTAAAAAAGTAATTAATTTTTATAAGGTAAGTGAATGTTGATAAAATTTTTTTTTTAAATTCTCTTCGTTTTATAAACATTTGAAATTATGAAATACAATTCATGCCACCATAAACCACTTTAACAATCTATAAAATCTGTTCCATATGTTTAAAGACCGCTGAGAATAATATTAGACAAAATAATACATATTAAGGATATCACTAATAATTTCTGGAATCCATTGAGTCTCTCTTTTTATATAAATAGGGGAGCTAACTGATATGTTCCTATCTTCTGGTATATTTTTCTTAGTCCATACTTCTTTTTTCATGTTCTTTATCTCTAATTTTAAGTTATTTCCCTAATTCTTTAATAATTCTATTGTCTCCTGAAACCTTATTATTTTTGAGCTTTTTCATGTCAATTTCAACATCCTTATCTTTTAGTTCTACAGGCATAATCCCAGTGTTTCCCTAATATCATCTGTTGCCTTGTTTAATAGGTTTTTTTTCATTTTTTTAGATTATAATACATAGATTTGGCTTATAAATCACGTGTAATATAAATACTTACATAACCTTAATTGTTTTTTGTAGATGCATAAGTGGTCTAGAACAGATATATCAAATATGCTGTCATAAGGCAACATATTTATTGGGTAAAAGAATAAAGAAAAGAAAATGAGTAATAAATTATTTGATAAAAGTATAATTACTTATTATGTGAAGGTTTCATTGGTAATGAGAGATCTATTGGTTTTACTGTGACTTTTTAACAAAAAATCTTTTTGGATTTATCAAGCGTAGTACATTTTCTGAAAGGGAATTTTTTAAATGGTGCATTGAGGAGATCATTTTTTTAATTTCTGAAGAGATTATTATAATAATCGCACGAACCAGTACCTAACTAGATTTATTCCACATAATTTTTGTCAAATTTTGTTATTAAAATTCTTTTAAAAAAAAAACATGTTCAAATTTTTTTTTTTGACTACAAATTACAAAAATTAAGAAACCTCCTATTAAATTTACAAGCATTCCTATTTAGTTCAAAAATTTTATCCACAGAGTACCAAATAAAAATTACGTAAAAACTGGCAAAATTAAAATGTCTATAATTAGCTTAAAAACAGATCCAATGTTTTGAAAATTTGACCACGTCTAGAAAAATCAAATATAAGTTTTCTGTCAAAATTTCAAGTCTTTATGAATATATCAAACTAAATTACATTACTAGAATTATTTTCATACATTTTCCTGTACTTTCTGCAATTTTTTAAGTTTTGCTCAATTATTAAAAAGACTACAAAGAAAATCAAAAAAGATCACTTTATGTTTTTTATTGGAGCCATATTCATGGTAGAAAACGTAAGCAGTACAAATTTAAAATAATGAAATTGTTGTGCAGTAATTTGAAAAAAAAAAATATGTATATTTTGTCTTTTTTGGTTTTTCCTAATTATTATGTAAATACTTTGGATATCAAAAAAAAAAATTATTCTAACAGTAGAAAATTATTAAAAGAAACAAAATCAATCTCTAGTCTAGCTTGAATTAGAGCAATATTTCTGTTAGGAAACATTGTGTAAACATAATAAAAACAATGAAAACAGTAACGCCTTGGTGAGCCATAAATATTTGCTGTTTTACTTATAATTTTCTTTCAGGTTTATCTAATTATTTCAATTGATTTTTTTTAATTATTTATATTTGATCAAATAACCTCCCTAAGTTGAAGTGTATTAGAATAGCCAGATGGTCAGCAGTTTCAATATGGAGGACTCTCGAATAGCTTGGCACTCGAAGGAATACAGTTTCTACTTCAATAGCTGGAGAAGGAGAAGATCTTAGGTAACCCATGTTAGTTCTTAAACAAGAGGATTTTAGTTTATTGAGTTTTTTCAATTAGAGAAGGAGGTATAACCAAAAAGAAAGTAGCCATAGTCAAGCTTAGAGCGAATGACAGAGAAATGTATGTCTTTTTTACTATTCCTTTCAATTTATTATGATACATAAAACAAAATTCTATAGTCTTTCTCACAAAGTAAAGTACCATATCAAGCATATTAACAAAGCATCACATTATCACAATAAAATCCTCTCGTGCATTTCTAGCTCACGTGTACCGGGTAGAAACGAAATCTAAACAAAGAGCGGCGTGGAGGGATGCGTGTCACTGACTGGTTTTTGTTAAGACACAGTACCTTTCTTTTACGAGACAGAGTATAGGTTAATCATTCACTATAAATATAATTCCTTACTCTTAATTTGTAGCCTTCGTTAGTAAATACTGAATCATTTTCTATAATGAAATCTTCCAAACTTTTTTGTTCGGGAGCTAAAGTTTTAATTAAAGAGTTTGGATTTTTCAATAATTTCTTTTCAATACGTAATAGTTTTCTTTTCTTGCATCTTGGCAAACTTGGATCAGCACCCTCACCTACAAAGCAGACAGGTATTATATTAACGATAAATTATTTTGTAATAAAGACAATTGTATTACCTGGTTTTACTTTTTTTATTTCTTTTGTAACTTTAGATTTACAGTTTAAATTAACAGATACAGCTGCATTACTATCTTCTATAAAATAAAACAAATCCAAAGTAATAATATTAATTAATTAATTCATACAGGTAATTCAATAAATAATTAATTTTGTATTACCTTCATTGGTAATTAACAAATTATTATACTTTGAATCATTGACGGATGAATTTTGTCCTTTCATATATAACTGGTCAACTTGTATTTTAGTATCCTCATTATGTGCATCTATAAACACACATTTTATTACCATAAATAGGTATATTATATTGATGTGTTTATTCTATACAAGGAAATAAGTGTTATAAAATAATACTGTGTGATTCTTTCATTGTTAAACATTCACTATCTCATAAAGTATTAATTTTTTTTTGAAATCTGTTTTATAGAAAATTTAAGAAACAAACACCGATACAATTTTACATTTTCATTGTTTTTTGTCACCTTAATTTTTAGGAGTGAAACAACTACATACTTTTGACAAATGACAACCTATATTGAAAATGCTTTAAACAGATGGAATATTAGTTAAAATACATTTTGGTGTAGACATTTTTAATTTCCATCAATCAAATGGTGAGATATTCCACTTTTAAGTTTGGGTCGAGGGAGGAGCACCATTTGTGTGCATGGCACATGGCGATTTAATAATGCACTACTAATCTCCTCCGACCAAAACTTAAAAGTGGAATATCTCACCAATTGATTGATGGAAATCAAAAATGTCTACACCAAATGTATTTTAATTAATACTACATCTATTTAAAGGATTTTCAATATAGATTGTCAAGAGTAGGTAGTCGTTTCACCCACAAAAATAAGGGTCACAAAACAAATAATAGTTTAACATTTTAGAATTACCTATTTGTTTCTGAAGTTTCAAAATAAAAAAATTTCAAATATAGACAATAATTTTTGATATAATGAGTGTTTAAGGATAAAATAATCACCTATAAGGTAGGTATATTTGTATTTAATAAAAATGCAAAATCAGCACAATAATAAATAATATAGAATCACGAGGAGTATGAAAGAAAAAAATTAAGTTTACATAATTTGAAAGCTAAATTTAATTAAAAATTACTAGACAGATACTCTTCAAAGTATAAATATTAATTCAATATAATGCCAATAAATTGAAGTTCTCAAAAAAAAAATTACAAATTAATAATTAATAATTACCTCGTGGTTCATACTTCATTAGAGGTTCTCTTTCGTCTTGTTCAATAGAAATTGGATTTTTATCACATATTCCACTTTTTAAAAATTTGGTCAATTTTTTAATGATCTTTTTCTGTGACTTTGATAACTGAAAATCTAAGGCTTCACATCTATTTTCATAAAATAATGACAGTAATAAAATATAACAACCCTTATTATAAAATATTAAATTAAAATACATTTTACATTTTTCAATTAGTCAATATGAACATAGTAAGTGGAAATTTAAGATATATCTTTAGCGATATTAAATACTGTACCTATTCAATAATCTGTTTTTGTACCTAGAGAGCTGAATGACAAGCAATATAAATAATACAATTGTACAATTTATACTTAAAAAATAACACAAATATAATATATAAGTAAATTAAATATTGATAAAGATAAAATAACTACAAAATATCTAGGTACCTAATAGTATATAATGGACAACAAGTTGTATCCATCAACGATTTATAACAATACTTTCCACTCCGTCGCCACCCACGATCTATCATATCTTGATATGCTTGCACTGTAAGACTTGATGCCCACATACCTATTAATAAATAATATGTCACAATTACATCAAAATATTTAATATTTGATTTTTAAATATGTATACTATTACTCTCGTACCATTACTGTAACTAGCATAGTCTGTTTTGCAGTAACCACAAAATGACTTTTGTTGTAGACCATTATAGAATATAATGCTTTTATTATTATTCGACATGATAATTATTAAAATAAAAAAATAGATAATACGTGAATGTATAAAAAACTAGAAAGTAATAATTAAAACAAAAATAATATGTTGAAGTAAACGAGTAAATAGAGTAATTTTAAAATATAAAACCAAGAATTAAAATATTATATCATTATTCTTTTTACAGAATTGAAAACAATTTATGACAAAATAAATAGGTATTAGATATGATAGCAATAAGTTAACAGCAGATTCCGTCTAAACATGGTTGCCAGCTTTCGTCTTTCGCTTTTATACTTTATAATCTATATGATAAATGAATAAGTAGATAACGCAACTACTCATAGACCTATTAACAAATTATTTTGTTATAGGTCTATAATATTACTCTACGAGATAACGTGATACTGATTATAAATCGATAATAGGCGGATTATATACCACGTACGCCATTTTGTGTGTATTACAATTCACTGAGTTACTGACATACCTATGTATTTTGTTATCATAAATCATAAAATAAATAGAACTTATTCTGTAAATTGCAGTAGAGAAGTTTGGTGCAATACATATAGAATATAGACAATATATCCATAGAAAATATACAAATAAAATGGATAGGCCAACGTTATACTAAAAATCTATGGGGCAGCTTTATAAAACAACTTTAACTACATGGCTCATACAGCTATAGTCCACACGTACAAAATAATGTCGCTAACAAAATGGTTGCTAATCGTTATCTGAAAGATGAACGTTTACAAATTAAACTGATATGATAAGTGATAATATACTATTTTGCACGGACTAATGAATAATATAAGAATTATTTTATTATTATCTATAACTTTAGTGTCAATACAAAGTGGATATAGGGGCATGCGCACGACCGGTTTTTTTTCTCAAAAACATGCCTTACAGGAAAAACTCTTACGCCTCGTAGTAATTAGATTTCGATTGTTTTTTTTTTGTTAAAAAGAGGAAGACTTCTTACAGGGCGCAGTGGACTTCAATTTAAAAAATTTATACAAGATTATAAATTGTGTAATATTTTTATTTTTAGCAATGTATTCAAAAACCGAAGTCTAATGCTCCCTGTAAAAAATCGTCCTCTTTCTAACAAAGAAAAAATTATTGAAATGAGATAAATCTGTGCAGCGTGAGAGTTCCTGTAAACCGTGTTTTGAACAAAAAAATTACGCTTGTAATTTTTCCGTCGTACTGTTCTATTGACCTATGCGTGCGCGTGCATATATAGTCCTGAAACCCGCGCCACGTTACGTACTATTATCGCACATCAAGTTCTTCTGGTAATCTATAGATACACGTTATCTACTAATACTAATAAAGTAATAAAATAAATAGGATACAACATTCATTTCCAGATTTTCACTTTTCTGTATTATAATTACGCGATCGGTTTTAGATATCTTGCTACGCATCTGATTATTTTTTTCAGTTCGAGAACGACTTTTCTACCAGTAAACTCATTTTGAAGTATATATTACAGCATCTTTTTTAAATTATAATTTTCTCTAATTAGTACATTGAAGAGGTCATTTAAAAAATTATAGGTAAAAACGACAAATATTTACAGAGCACAGTGGTGCTCAAAAACTTACTAATGAACAAGAAAAATTCATTAAAAAAGGTCTCTTGTCGTATATCTATTGGAGCAGTATTTCTGATAGAAAACATAAGTCGTACAAATTTTAAATAATAAAATCGTTGTGCCATTTATAATTTGAAAAAATCGTATATTTCGTCTTTTTTGGTTTTTCCCAATTATTAGGAAAAATAATTTAGATATCAAAACACGACTTACCCTGCTAGTGGCCAAATATTATTAGAAAAAAATCGTTCTCTGGTTATTTTTAGATTAGAGCCTTTTTTCTGGTAGAAAACATCGTATTAACATAATAAAAACAATAAAAACGATAACGCCGCAACGTGTCATACATATTTACCTATAGTTTTGTTTCAGCCTTCAGGTGTTTTAATCAATTATTTTAAAAAACCCCTTAGGAAATCAAAAATTACCTCTACAATGTACCAATAAAAGAAAATTACCTCTCAGAAAAGGTACTATAGTTTATACTTCGGAGCAAGTTTTTTCGGTACAAAGGTTTTTCACAGACACAAAAAATAAAAAAATATATAAGTTTACATATTATAGTAAAATCAATAGGTTCCTTGCTAGGTACATATTAAAGGTTTATTAAATTTTGGAGTCGCTGTGGCAGTACACGTATAGATGCTTACACGCAGTAAAAATTGTCTAAATTTTACTCCCTAATTAATAGCTACATGCAGGACCCTTAATAGGAAATTAATCCACCTTGATACAATGTACAATGCATAGACTTATAATATTATAAGTCTATAATACAATGTACATAATATTTAAATATTATAACATCGTTCCTAATCAATATTATAAAACATAAACATTCATCTTTTAGATAAGGATGGCAGCCATTTTGTTGACGACAATAATAATGCCAAAATTAGCTATTAGTTGTTTTATGTATTTGTGGTTTCCGAAGTTTCGGTCATAGACATATACTTATATTTAAGCCAGGTAAAACATTTTAATTATAAAATGTTAATTAAACAATTATTGGTATACATGTGCAGTATTGGAAATTTTGTTATTACCTGAACAGTAGCAATTATCAAATTGATTTTTTAACTTCGAAATGGTCTGCAATAGTATCTAATATTAGAATAATTTTATATTAACATTTAATCATTGATTGAAAAAAAAAAAAATAATTTGTAATTTAATATATTAAATGTATATTGTGTAAACCTATAAATCAAGGCCTTATTTGAATTTTAAATAAAATAAGCGTAACAGGCACATATATTATATGTATATATAATGTGTGTGCAAAGGGAAGTGACTATCTGGCATTATATTGAAAGACCAAAAATTATGAAAATATTTTTATTTTATAAGTTATGTGCTATTTAAGTTAATAAAACCGCACATATCATGCATTTTTGTTGTGTATTTTAAACTTTTCAACCTATGAACCTAATATTTTTTAATTTATGGATATTCTATTATGCTTTCAACCAACATACACAATTAAACCAGAAATGTAAAAATTATTTTTACTAAATTAAAAAAAGTAAAAATGTTTTGTCAAAAATTTGTATTTTTAAAAATAAATCACGTATAACTCCAAATAATTTACTATTTACTATAGTTTTAATTTATTATTTTACTAAAAAAATACCTAAAATACCTTAAAGGTTTTATTTTTGTATCATTGCAGAGTTATATGCTACTGAACATGATACATCATTTGTGATTGTAATTATGTATTATTGTAACTTCAAGCCTAAATGAGGCATAAACTCACCAGAGATAATATTTTATCAAAGACAAAATAATACTCAATGAATATAAAAAACAACAAGATAAATAACAAAGTATTTTAAAAATAAAAAAAAAACAAGAAAATAAAAATTATTTATCATATTCTCAAAGTGCTACCCACCTGACTGCAGACAAGCTTGAACTCTAAATAAAATACTTTATATTTCAATGCAAATATACTTATAGGATTTTTTTTTTATACACTGTGACAAAAATGTCTACCAGAATTCTTATATGATCTTATATATATGATACCTTAATATTTTATATTAAATATGTAAGTATAAAACCTTTTTTGAAAGAAAATATTGTTATTATTCTTATTCAGAGTTTTATACGTGATTTATTTTTAAAAATAAATACAAATTTTTGACAAATTATTTTTACTTTTTCAATTCAGTAAAAATAATTAGTACATTTCTGGTTTAATTGTGTATGTTAGTTGATAGTACAATAAAATAGCTATAAATTTATAAAAAAAACATAGATTCATAAGTTGAAAAGTTTTAAAGATTCATAACAAAAATGAAGGTCTATGGTGAAGAATGACAATAGTCAATATTCCTAAAATGTTCAGTATTGCAGTTTTAAAATTTCATTACTATATTAAAACCTTTGTTATATCACTAACTCTGATCTTTACGCCCCAACTCAATTCGGCCGAAAACAAATGATAAAATGATAATATTATAATTATTTTATATATATATATTATTATTTTTTTTACTATTATCATTTTTCTCCGTAGCATTTCAAATGCATAGTAGGTACAGTTTCATTAAAAAAACTAAAATAGTCTTTAACTTGAAAAATAAAAATGTTAGACCCCCACTAAAAAGAGGGTTTCTCCATCATTTTTAGAGTACTTTAATATGTTGACGACCGTTTACTTTCCCCTGAAATACATTACATTATTGAAGTACAATACAATAAAATACCAATGTCAACAACAATTTTTAAAAAATAAATTAAAAATAGCAAGTTGAAAAATTTATTTACAAGAATGTAATAAAAAATGATCAAATACCTACCCGTTATCTATTTACAAAATGTATCTATAAGTTATAGCATTTATTATATTTAATATACATACTTAATATTAATAGGTTCCTATATCATTATTTTAAAGTTTTCTAAATCGTCTTGTATTTTATGTGTACTTAGTAACTTGATAACAAATTATAATATTTAAAAGTTAAAAACATCTTTAAACAACTAAATTACCCATGGCCTAGGTACAAATTATATATAATATATTATTTTTACGTTTTTGTTGATTTGATCATTTATACTGATAAAAAAAAAAATTGATTGTATTTAAAAATGTTTAATTTTAATTTTAATTTGAAATGTAATATAATAAAAAATAATAATGTAAACAAATAGACATATAAAACTATATAATATTAATAAAACAGAATTTACATCTTATTAGTTTTAAATTATTGTTCTTAATTCAAAATGATATTATTGTATAGAATAATATGTATAGCCCAATCTAAATATTCAGTCTATTAGAACGAGTTTTAATAGCTAATAATGGTTCAGTAATTTCTTTTTTTCTTGTACTTCTTTTCACTTTTACTGTTATTTCAACATCTTGTTTTATTTCAGACTTGATAATGTTTTCTTTTCCACTTTTTTTCTTAGCAGTTGAATCTTTTTTATTTTTTTCAGTTACTCTAACCAAAGGTGACTTAATTTTATTTTCTCTTGATTTTGGACTTTCTAAAGTCATTTTTAATTTTCTTACAGTTGGAGTAACAAATCGCGGTATTTCTTTTAATTTTGTATTCACTCTAGTTTTAGTAGTTGCAGGTGTCTTAAATTCATATTTATTGGATTCTGCCACAGGTGAATGAATAACATTTGAATCAGGATAGCTCATTATTTTATTAATTTTAAGTGAAATACTCAATTCATTCAAGGACAATAATACTGTTTTATCATGACACGATTCTTTAGATTTTTGTATGTAATCTAAAGATTTAGATAAATTATTGAAAAGAACCAAGTGTTCTGTATAATGGTATTTGGCTAATGAATGTTGTCTAGTTTTTAAAATATTATATACTTCATTCTTATTAAACTGTGGTAAAGACAATTTCATTAATTTAAACACCAATTTAAAATAATTTTCAGCTATATTTTGTTGATTGGTTTTGGAACAGTAAACCGCTTTAAAAGTGCATGCGTCCATTACTGAATGTATTAAAATTGGATCGTGTGTTTGTTTACTAGAAATGACACCATTACAAAATTCAGCAATACTAATTTGTGTATTTTTATTATTAAACCGTTTTAAGGAAGGAGATGCCAATCTGTTCATTCTAGGGCTTGGCATGCATCGATAATCTGATAACGGAGAAGCCGAAATATTTGGAGAACGACTCATAGTTAATTTTTGCAATTTTGAATCAAACTCATCTTCCTTAAAATCGAGTAAAGTCATAACATGTTCAAATTGTTGATTGGCGCTTTCAAAATTGCAACACATTAATTCATTCCAACAATTCATTAAAAATACATTTAATGCTCTCTTACTTAAAACAGACTTCAATACAATATTCATTTGAACTTTTAAAAAACAACGGGCTTCAACTGGTTTGAAAGAATTTATATAAATTAAATTCAAATATGAACATATATTTAAAATTACAAAATGCATAGCTAAATATTCATAGAAAGAATCAAGTCTTTTAATAAGACTATGTGCAAGATTGTAAGCTTCAATGAATATACAGAGACATCCAATGTTGTCAAATTTTCCTGATTCAAAACATAAACGACTTTTCAGATACAAATATTCAGCCATTAATAAAACATTTTTATTTACTTCTCCATCATCAATATTCTCTAATAATATTTTTGCATCATTAAATTTTAATTGGTTTAAGAGAGAAGTAGCTAATATCAATTTATAATCAATAAGCATTTTAGGTAGGTAGGTAGTTAAATTATCCAATTCCAAAATATCTACTTCACCAATTTTTACTAATTCAGAAAGTGCAATAAAAATATGTTTGTGACATTTCTTGGTAGATGCTAATTTAAACAATAGTTTCCAAACTTCCACTTCTTTTGGATCACAATGTAGTTTAAATATAAAAGCAACTTCTTGAAGACTTTTGTACAGTATTTTAATGTCATATTCATCTTTAATTGAATCATTTGTTAAAGTAGACCAATTCTGAACAGCCAAATTTAAACAATTAAATAGTTTTGGTTTAATTTTTAACGGCAATATCCAAGACATTGGTTGATACTGTATACCATTATGTTGCTCCATACCAGATTCCAATCGCTCTTCAGAATATGAATCCAATTCTTTACAAACGAGGTTCTGTAAATGCTTAAATAAACATATGAAATGTGCATAATATAAATTACCCAACATCAATGGCATATTCTTTTTTTCTAGTAATATTTCTACTTCTAATTTACGAATGTAGTCTTCCAATACATCAATTATAGTTTTTAAACTATCTATACTATTTGAATGAAGTATTATAAAAGCAGTTGTAATAATGACTTGACACTTTAATTCTCTTGATAGTTTAGAGCCAATTAATTCATTAAATAATTCTAATACGGCAGTAATGTCTTTTTTTATTTTATTTTGATTATTATGTGCTTTCAATTCTAACCACATTATTTCAATATGGTCTGACTTTTTTAAACTGTATTCTGGCCATTTTTGTTTAGATTCATTATTAATTTTAATCATATTCAAAATTGTATGTTTAATAGGACGTGAATTAATTTCTTCCTTACATTTAAGATAAACCCATTGCTTGGCAGTTAATTCAGAACGAGTGCGTACACACCAATAAGCAATACAACTTAAAGCTTCATCAGTTTTGTTTGTTTTGTACAAATACTGAGATAAGAGAACTGCAACACGAGCCACAAGATCTGGATCAAGACCATTAGGATCAAGTATTAATAATACATTTTCAAGAAAATTCAAATTTATATATGTTAATTTGTCAGAAGTTTTAGAAGTACAGAGATTATAAATACTTGTTAATGAAAATTCAAAAAATGGAATTCTATTTGAACAATTTGATTTACTTATTCGCTCGAATAGTGAAGTAAACAATTCCATCCACTTTAGGAGATCTTCTGTATTTAAAAATGTATCATTTGTAGTTATTATGTGCCGTGCCATAATAAAAGCAACATTAATCAAATTCATTTCTGATATTGAATCCTCATTGAGATTGCAATTACTGTTCTTACAGCATAACTTATCAATTTGATTGTGTTTACTCAAACAAACTAAATGCTGTAATAATTTAAATACTAGTGAAACTGCATTAGAAGAATGAATGATCAATTTTTCAAACCATACATTTTTTAGTTTTATAATAGTAACAATGGCAATCTTAAACACATAATATAATATTGTATTGGGTAATACAGTGACACATTCATACTTTTGAACAAAATCAATCATTTTTTTGAGTTCTAAATTTGAATTGAGACCATTTTTAACTGAATTATCAATAAACTTGAATAATGGTATGAAAAATGAGAGTGCTTCTTTGTCAATAGGATTTAAAAAACAAATATCCATTATTAATTCAAGATGCTTAATTAAAAAATGTACATGCATCTGTTTACGCTGCATCATGTTTTGCATAACTGCTGCAATATTTTCAATTAACATAGAAAATAAATTTGTTATATTTGCAGTATCACTTTTTTTTCTAAAAACACTAGAAGACAACACCGATTCCAAAGTCATATCTAAAATAACTAAATCCATAGATCGATCCTCATGTAATATCGATCCATTGATATTTTTTGTAAGCATTTTTAATGAACACAATGCATACTCAATTTCTTTTTCAGTATAACATTTTACTAAGTTTAATACGGTATCCCACACTAATATAACATTTAACTTCTTCAAATTATCATCAATTGGACATGTCTTATGTATGTAATGTGCAAATAACGGAACTAAATCCTTCAGAATAACACAAGTTGGAGATGATTTGTTTAAAAGATAAGTACTAAAATTAACAGCTCTACTCACATGATTATTCAAAAGTAAATATCTGATAAATACATATAAACTATTTTCCAATGGTTGCAATTCAGACAAAGCCAGCAATTTGAGACAATGTTCAGCAAACTGAATTATATAATTAGCGCTATTTTCAGATTGTATTTTTTGATTAGTTAATTGAGATTGAAGTTTTTGTGCCAAAGTGCTAATTACACCAACTGTGAAATTTTGAAAACCTTTTATATCCTTTACATTGTTGTAATGAATGTTAAAAGTATCAAATGCTTCTTTTACATTATCCTTAATAATATCACTTTGTATTATTCGGTAAATTCGGGTTAACTCACCCATATTCTGAAAAATATTAATAAAATATTACAATAAGTATAGAATATTATAATAACAAAAATTAATCAAACCCAATTTAGTATCTATGATTAATCAACATTATACAACAAATAACAATTTTATTTTTATACTCAATAATTATTACTTTATATCCATATTATTATGTACCATATTGAAAAAAATAGTTTTATTACTCTAAAAATTAGTGTCAATGCAAATATTTGTTAAGAGTTTCTCAGCTTGGTTAGGATTAAGATTTAACACACACAAATGCTAAAAACAACTAGGTATTATCACTTGATTAGACAATACAAAGTAAGCACAAAGTGACAGCATAAAGTATTTTCACCAAAAATGACTGATTTAATTTACTACCCACTCTACCAAACATACTTGAAAATCTACAAACCAGGGACAAAAACCAAATTTTCTAATGGGTCTTTGCTAAAATTTATCGAATTTCCAAAGTCAAAAATTCTTTTAATGGCTTTTGTTTTGTAAAAACACAATCATTTTTATTATATTTCTGAACACCCAGGCACCTACCTGTTTTGTTTTGCGAATCACGTGATTCAAATATTACTTCCTTTGTGTTGTCACAGCGAACAATATACCACCATTATTCAACCCAGAGAAAGAATGAGACACTGAATGGTCCAAATTTGCAGAAACTTTAACAATAATATATCCAAATTCAAACCAGTCAAAACTGACTATGCTCTTATCCAGACTATACCCAGAAAAAAATTGAACCACCTAAACAGGATTAAAACCAGACATGCTCAATTTTAAAGAAATAAGACAAAGAAAAAGATATAAAGCAAACAATGAACTGTGAAAACTCAGTATGAAATATAAAAAAATTGTCTATAAAAGCACCCTGAGAAAGTTCCAAGGAATGTGGATTGATAAATTCACAATGTCCCTTAAATCATTTGTATGGATAAAACCATTGGACTTGGAACTCTAAATGTTAACCTAATATAAAGACCACTTGTATTATGAACTATTTCTATTAACTTGTATTTATTTTTTATAATTGTTTATCTTACCACTATGTTTTCAAATCAAAATTTTAACAATTTAATTTTTATCATAAGTTGTCGTAAATTAAATTTAAATTTATGTCATATGTTTAAACCATGATGTACAATAAAACAAAAAACTAAAAAACTCCTAATTTAGGTAGTATGACTCACTAAAATTTACAATATAAAGACAACTTAGAAATAAACATGACTTGATATCTGGCATACAGCTATTATTCAGTTAAGTAACTAATTTCAACTATCTATCTATATTTCAAACATTTATGTAATTTTTAAGTTTATTGTCGTATAAAATAACAGTAGAAACACTCATAGTTAGCAAACTAAGAGTAGCTGGTTAGCCCAATCCAACCTGTAGATATCAAACTTAATTAAAATAAAGTATACAAACAGATTTGATAAATGCATAATTATTAATAGAATTTCATCCTAGTACCTAATTAAATTATTTATTAATCAGGTTTTCAACAATCCATTCTGACTAAATACAATTTTGTGAAATAATTAGTATTTGGTACCTATGCACAATCATTTAATAAAACTACAAAAACTTTAATTTTTAAACAATCAGTTAATGTAAACAATTTATGAATGCATAATATTTTATTCAAGAAAAAAATTAATAGGTAAATATTTAAAAGTATGTGTAAATTTAGATTAAGGAATGTACACAACATTAATGTGGGTATTTCTTAAATTATAACTTATTGTTAATTACCTTTGGTTATGTATTTAATGACAAATATATATACTTATATTTTCATTAATCATATAATAAATATTAAACAAATATATATATTGTTTAAACTTAACCACATTTTAAAATAAATAAAGCACAAACAAAAGACTTTAAGAAAAAATAAAAAATTGTAACTTTTAAATAATAATTTGTATAAATAACATAAATTAGTAATTGGTGTTTTGATGAATGCGAAATGAGTAGAGAAAGAGGACTGATAACAATTATTTTATTTTATATTTCATTTGTTAAAATAACGGCTATTTGAAATGTTATCAACAATTTAAAATCCTATGTTATCAATATTTAATCAATAATTCACCTGATTGGTTAACCTAACGCTAAATCATAAACTTAAAAATCTTTTGACCGATTGGTGTGTTCGATTTTGGTTTACAGAATTATAGCCAATACTTATAATCACTATTTTGTTCATAGATATAAAATAGTAAATACTAAATAGTTAACCAACATTTTCATTTGAAGCCAATCGCTATAATATGCGTAGTGGGCACGAACGGGAGCACATAAAACAAAGGAAAAAAAATATTTCGGTCGAACCGTATTTAAGCAGAAAAATATACAAAGATACCTTCATTTGCGGCATAGTTTTAGATACTATCTATAGCCGTGGTTCGTGGTAGTGGGCCATGTTTTCATCATTTTCTTATCAATGCGGCACAGTAATATCACAAAAGTATGATATAAAATTTATAAATAGGTATATTTCTTTTATAAGTATACTTAATCACAGATTTATAATGATTTATAATACAATGGTGTATATATATATATGTCTGTGTATTAAATTAGTTTTCAATGTAATTAGTGATTTAGAGAGCCCGCAGACTCCTACTCTTTATCGGCCTAAAGTCTATATAATATGCAAGAGCGTTTATTATTACGATTTGGTACTGGCCGATTAATAAGTTTGATGGACGACACGATTGCGTTCAAACTATCGGCCGACTGATTAATCAATATGGCGCTCTGCGATAGCTCGCACACATGCCGATTCATTATTTAGTCCACTCGACCGATAGATTCATTTTGACATAGTAAGGCATTGCAATGATGATGTCGCTGCCTTGTCGAAACGTTATTACAAAATAATTTAATAATGGAGTTTGTTGTGTTGTGTCGAAAATCGAAATGTATTATACTCGTGTGATAAAATAATAACCACGCTTGGAAAATGTAAACATTACCCAACACACATATGGCGACTAGCTTCAACATTCAGACCGATCAGTATCTTGGTGTATAACAAATTATCTATCTAGTATTTTGTATCTATGGTTTTGTTCCAATTTCATAATGAGTATCCGATTTTTCGCATTTGATGAGAAAATTCTTGAGAAAATCGAAAAATGATCTTTAGGGTACCTCCCCACACCGATTTCCTTTCAGAAAAGTTGTTATACATACAAATCGGAGAAAGTCTTCTGGTAGAAAAGTTATCCACAGAAAAACAAAAACTAATTAACATCTTTGTAAAACCATAAGTTTCTTCGCTCCACTCAGAATCTAAAATAATTCAAAACAAAATAATCGATCGGCGTTTGCCACGAACCTTATCTCGTACTATTGAACTATTAATATGTATCAAACATGATAAATAATTATCAAATAAAAAAAAACCATACTTTATTATTGTAATAATAATAATAATAATATAAAATGTAAAAAAAATTTAAAGGGGCTTCAACTCCAAAGCACCACTCTGAGTGCGCCACTGCTGTCATCAACTAATATACCTAAATATAAGTATTTACACCGTACTCGATAATTGAACACAGACATTTCAGTGACATTTTGTTAAATTAGTCACTACATTTTTTTTTTGGTTTTCCGTTATCATTTTGCATAATATACATAGTATTACTTACTAATTTATTTGGATATAAATTCTGGAGTTTAGGCAAGTATATTTTCTCATATTATAATTTACACCTATTTAAATAACTACAGATTTTATTAATTTATAATTATTATTGGATAATATTTACAAATGTACATGTACTCTACAGTCACGTATATTTCTCGGCCCCCTCCCCCCCAATTTTAAAATAACATTTTTCTTGGTCCAATCGTTAGTATCCCGTTAGTATTGGATAGCAAAACAAAAGTACCTAACCTAACCAATACCATTACAGCGATATTTAGATAGATACTTTTCGTAATTAATCTAATAAAATTGAATTACAATTATTTTTTAAACACTTACAATTACTCGAAAAGAGACCTGGATAAATCTGGAAAAAATCAGTATTATCGATATTATCCAAATCGTTGGACATCTCTAGGAATTTCTATGAATTTTTATACGTATTGTATTTAATCCAAATATGAATAGTTTTAGCTAAATTACCATGAATTTTGATGCGCAAAAGACAAAAATCTATAATTATTCATATTTTGACATTTTGTTCAATCCCTCTAAATCACAATTTCGTTTTTACTCCATGACTCATGTTAGTTTGATTTTTGTTTACAGGTTATATTATTTACCATGTGCTCAGAGATTTGATAACATAAAATAACAATTATGGTGATAAAAATAGGTAATTACTAATTTGTGTTTAATTTAATTTTTGAAATTACGTTGTCGAATTCAGAGGATCACAAAATGAAGCAATTATCAGATGATCGAATGAAAATATTTTTTGAAAAATTATCCAAATAGTAAGTTATTATTTAGTTGAACATTATATTATAATGTATGTACATGCAAAATAAACCTACATAATAAATAATAGTAATAGAAAGAAGTTTTAAATTTTGTTATGTTGGTTTTTGAGCTTATGCATTACAAACAAATAAACAAATCTTTCTTCTATAATATAATATTAGTATAGAAATGAGTTTCAGTAACAATAATAACAAATTAATCACAAATTTAATATTTATTTTTAAAAACTAAATGGTTTATTTTATTACTTTCTTTATAACCAATTAAAAAAGACAAAACTGAATTAGTAACTGAATTTAGCAATGAGTAACTAATTTGTATTTATTTTGATATTATAAGGATAATAATGTTGTTTGTGTGTTTGGTATTTACCTTTCACCTTAATAAAATTATACCCATTATACTTATTTGAAAAAGCATTTATACAAATTATTAAAAATGAATAAAGTTTATTTTTCATGACACTTTTGTTTTAATTTAGCATTGGTACAAATATAAAATTATTGATTGATCGTTCTGATGGAAAGTATTGTTTTCGAGAAAAGAAAGATCGAGTTTATTATGTGTCTGAAAAAGTATTGAACATGGGATCTATGATGAATCCTGATAACATCATAAGTATAGGTACATGTTTTGGAAAATTTACAAAATCTGGAAAATTTAGATTACATATAACTGCTTTAGATTATCTATCTCCATATGCCCAGGTAAAATGAACCACATTTTTATTATTTTTCTATTTTATGATAAATTAAATTTTTTAGCATAAAATGTGGGTTAAACCAGCTGCTGAACAACAATTTGTCTATGGTCACAATATATTAAAGTCTGGCCTTGGGCGAATTACAGAAAGTACTCTGCAGTATCAAGGTGTTATAATATTTTCAATGAGCGATGTTCCTTTGGTAAATTTACAAATATTTATGTAATTTAATTTAAAATATATCAATATTTTATAATTACCACCTTTATGCAAAAAATAGAACAAATTGTAGTTTAATTATTTTATTTGGTTTTAGGGTTTTGGTGTTGCAGCCAAGGGTACTACTGAATGTAAACACACTGATCCATTATCTGTAGTGTGTTTTAATCAAGCTGATATCGGTGAATTTATTCGATGCGAAGATGATTTAATATAATATTACCAACATTTGTTTTCTTTTTCATGTTATTTTATTAAATTAACGAGATTGATTTTATAAATTCTTAAATTAATTTTTTTAATGTATATTATCTAAATATAAAGAACTTTCTATGCATTGTTCATAGTACAGTATTGGTGTCATTAAATTATAAGTATAATACATATTTCATTAGGTCTGTGCTCGAGTAAGATTCTGTCATTTAAAACCCTTATACCTGTGCTGATAGCTTAATGATCAAATGTGTCTAAGGAAAGTTTTTACAGTGTGTCTCATTTGTATACTATGTCCTCATCAGTTCCCCATCATTATGGACCTGTTGTCCACACGCTTCGACTTGTAGCTTTGCTAATCAATGTCACATGACCAATCCTTTCCTGTCTAAGCTGTTATTCTAATGTAGCCAATTCCTTTTTTCTGAAATCAACTTCATAGTTCTCCCTTTAATCAATTTGATGTAACTCTTCTTTCATGTGTCTTTTATAAATTATTTGTTGAATTTCTTCTGAATAAGGACCTTATATTTTTCTTGCAATTGTATTTATTTTTTTCCATGTTTGCATTGTATTATTTGGTATGTACCAAATAATAAGCTAGGCTTAATAGAAGGAGATTTATATTAAGAGTTTAGTTTAAATGAGTAGATGACGTCTTTTATTTCTCTTAAATATGAAAGCCCAAGAAACTACCAGAATTTATTTAAAAACAATATTCCCCAGACATTTTGAGGATAGTTTGAAACCTCCTTCAGAAATATATCCCTGATCTGATAAAAATAAAATTGGACATGAATGAAAATTTTAACATGGTTTACTTAAGAAAATTGATTCTAGAATTTTTTTTTATTTCAAATTATACAAAATATTTTTTCTGTCTTGTGATTTAATTGCAAAAAATATATACAACATTCCCCTAAATTGTAATCAAAGATTATCATCGCAAATTAAAAATATTGCATAAATTTATTTAAATAAACGCCATCAGACATTAGGGTGAAAAGTTTATTTAATATTATTTATCAAAAATTAGTATACTCAATTAGTTTTGATTTTTTTTTAAATTCTGAACGTAGCAAAAAATCTATTGGTTTAAGTGTATATTTTTTTTTTTTTTTTTTTTTATGTGAGTAAACCACTTTTTAACCAGATATTAGTTCCATTGAAAAATAAAAATAAACCATTTTTGTTGGTGCGTCAAGAAGTTCCTATTTTTAAATTTTCTAAACAATTAGGAAAAACCAAAAAAATGTAAAATAAACTAAATACAATTTTATTATTTAAAATTTTAGAAAATTATGTTTTTAATAATAAAAACCATTTAAAGAACGAAAAAGTTAACAGAAATAATAGTTTCATATTTGAAATTTTGTTGTTTTCATTGTAATTTAGTTAAAAATATTTATAGCCTTAAAATATTGACAAAAAACAGAAAAAGCCGCCAATTTATACTTCCAAACAGAAATGTTTGAAATTTAAATTATTATAAAACATATTTCATGTTAAAAAAAAAGTTTAATAAAATGTGATAGTTTTTATAATCTATATTTTAAATAAATTGTAAATATTACAGTATTTCTAAATATGTTTAACTGAAAAAACTTAAACTTTACTTATTGTATTTCGTTAATACTGGTTAATTGTTGTCATCACTATAGATGTAATCATCCTATACAGTTGTAATTCTATAAGCTCCTGTAACCTCCTTAAACATATACGTTTATGGATTTCAAGCATCTGTACCAGAAACCAGATGACACACTAATTAGTAGTATCAGCTCTTTTTTTTTTTTTTATATTAGGTAAGTATTAAAGAAATATAATAAAAAAGTTGTACAGACTGGTATTACCTTTGCAGTTAAATTCAACATTTTTCGACAATATAAACACATTTTTAAAAAATCCTTTCAACTATTAATATTTGAGGTGCACATGGCAATCTTCATTTGTTACTATATGTATATTATCAGATCTCTGGGCAATAGATTCAGCTATGAATTGCACATAAAGAGATAAACACTTATTTCATTATAATAGATACTCAAAACAAATATTAATTGAATTTATTAATTTCATATAGAAGAAATTATGACATAAAAATGAAATCTGATAATAAATTTTCTTTTCTTTTATTTACGTTTGGGATGACCAGATGCTGCACGCAAGACTGCCCCAGGACTAGGATAAGGTCGCATTTGAAAAAGGGGTCCTGAGGCTGTTGTATCTACGCCAGATTTTGCTTCAACTGTAAGTCCATCATTCCAAGAACCCCTAAAAATAAAACAATAAAATATACAAAACAACAAATTAGATATACTAGTTCTGAAAAAAATTACCATTATCAGAAAATAATTATGAAAATTCATAGTTAATAAATATAACATGAAAATATGTTATAATATTTAATTGTTAAATAATAAATGTTAAATAACAATGTTTCATCAAAACAGTCTTATACTAAAGTTGAATATTACCTAGCAATATCTGAATACGCAGCTGGATCCATAGGATCAAGATCATTTGCTTTTATAACTCTTCTTGGGGGATCTTTACGTTTCAGCTCTCTGTCATATCTTACTTCTTTGGCACGGATTTCTTGAATAGGGGGAGGCATTGAAGTTTTCTTTTTTTTGGGGCGTTCATCTTCACTATTATCACTACTACTCTATAACAAAATAGTAAAAATTAAAGAAATATTAAATTATTTTACATAATATACAAAATAAATTACAAATTTAAATAATTCTTTTTATCGGAATGTAAAATAGATATTTTTATATATTGGTAACACAAATCAATTCCGTTAAATACATCAGATTTTATAAACTTCATAACAAAGTCATTTTTAAGTAAGTTACTGATAAAAGACACTGTTTAAATAAAGCGTTCAATTTATTAAAATTATTATATTAAACCTTCGGCAAGAACTCGACCAAGACCAGAGGTCTGACGAAGTGATGGGCTATCGTCCCAATTGCTCAATACAGTGTGGGCTGCCACCATCCTATGATCCCAGCATTTGTATCGCTGGTAAAATGCTTGACTGGAAGCATCGTTATTGGGGAGTATCCCCGAGCTCTGAGTGGGTTCTTACAAGGAAAGCTCGTTTATACTTTGCCCCCTTCTACAATATCAAGCGAGACTTGCTGTTGCCGCCATTTTGCTCCCCAGACAACAGGGAGAAAAGCTTGTAACAGTTGTAACTCATTTTCTCATATTTATCATTAATGTAGATATGAAGAACAAGGAAAAGTTTTTTTACCTATTATATTTAAAGAAGAAACAACCACAAATTGTTGCCAGTTGATGTTATATCTTTGGATTAATAATAAGTAATGCCAAAAATTAAATAAATTACCTCAGAGTCTGAAGTTTTTCTTTCCATATTTTGCATAATAGCATGCCTTTCAAATCGAAATTGTGCAACAGAATCTGTAACAATTGAACGAGGATGGCTAGGAGGTAACCAGCTAACTGCATCATTTATTACATCCCAATAATAAAATCTACCACTGAAAAAATTGAACAAAATAATAATAATCAAGAAAAAAAAATATATTTTATTTTTACCTTATATTCTCGCGGAAAAAAAAATCAACTATACAAATAATCATGTAGATATTCTAAAATGTTAATTAATCCATAATCATCAATCTAATTTTTCTATTAATTATGATAGTTATTTACAATGTAGTTTGTTTTAAAAACATATTGGCAGTTACTAGTTTGTTGACTAAGCTTTGTTTATCAGTTATGAGCAGATTTACTAATTTTTTGCATTAAAGTTTAAACAAATATAGATTATACTTCATAGTTCACATAATATTTTGACCTTTTGGTTGTGTAATATAAATTGATATTACTTATGTTTTGTGACTGAGATTATGGGACAATACATTAGTCGATAGTAGTAATTTTTTTCTGTTTTTGACATTTGTACAGATAAAAGGATTCAAGAGATTTGGCAATACTTAGAAGTGTGAAAAAGAACATGATTGCTTAAAAAGAGAAGATTAAACTTTTTGTCAAGGAGTGAAGAAGAAATTTTAAAAATTGTATTTTTAGAGTAGAAACTGTTTAATAGCCTACCAAGAATGAAGAACTAAACTAATAAAATCATTGTTAGGTAATCAAAATAATGATAGTAATATATTTGAAAATTGGAAAAACAAATTAATTTAATTATAGTATATATTTTAATTAATAGATAATGGGATTGCAAATGTTTATATTACTTACGTTCCAGGATCATATACTTCATGCCAATTTTTAGATAATGGATACTTTTCTAACATAATATTTCTAGATTTTAAATATCCATTTTTTGGTCGTTTTATACCATTTTTCCATTGTTGTTCACAAAAATGTGTACATTCATGATAAACATTTGACTTATTTGGACAACCATGATGACCCTACAAACAAAATTAATATACACAAATTCTTAAATAATAGATAATATATATGGAATTTATATTATTGATAGGTATTCACTTTAAATTTATCTAAAACTCTAGGGTCTGGTTTATCATTTTCTTCTTCACTTTCTTGTGAATCTGAACCAGAGTTGTCATTTGTATCATCAACATCATCATAACATTCTGCAATTACTTCTTCTTCGGCTTCTTTTGTGTTAATTTTGCCTAAAATCAGGTATTTTATACATGTAAATTATAATTTAGAGCCAGCTATTTAATTTTTAATTTTAAATGAGAAAAATATTTTTACAATTGATACTATAAAATATATAGGTACTTATTATAATAAGTGTACCTAATTTGTATCAATTTTAAATTTTACATTTAGAAAGATATAATTTGTATATTTTATATAAAGTTAGTACATATTAATTAAACACTATGGAATAAAAATAATTATTTTTATTTTTATTTTATAGTTATTGTTATAAATCCTAATATTAAACTGAATTCTAAATACATATATATATATCAAAATTTATATAGCTATTTCCCATTTTTATATTTTACCTTCATTTTCAGTCAATATTCCACGGGTTGCTAACCTTTTAGCCAAAGCTGGAGGCAAAGGCATTATGATTTATTTAAATAAACTTTTTAATTACGAACATAGCAATATTAAACATTATTTGTTTATGTCAGGAGTAAGTATAATACAATATTAATATAGTAAATTGGTAAAGTAATTAAGTAATTAGTACCAAATAATGTATATTTAATAATTGTTTGTACTTTATTATCAGGTTTATGATACCATATTATCACTGTAGATCTCATGGTATCATTAGCCTTAAACAAATTATTTTCCATTTTTTTTAAACGCCTATAGTTAAATATTTTTAAAATAGTTATAATTATGTTATTAACAAAAAATCTGTTGTTACTTGTGTGAATAATATAATAAATTAAGATAAATGTAATTTTGTAGTCGATATAAAATTGTTGATGAATTAAATTTTCTTTTGAACAACGGCGTGACGTTTGCCTCCCTGTAACGATATCCCTTCCCCCAACACAAAACTGTTTGTCATCCACCGGGCACCGAATCGAACGTCGAACATTCTAGAATTTTCCTTCGGTCGATTTACATTTGCCGGCTCCTTGGTTCGCGTGATTCAACATTCTATTCGTTAGTTGTCATTGTGTTTTCATTCCGTTAAAACGGCTTTTTTAATATAATTACTTTTTACGTATTTTATCGTACAGTTTTAACAAACCAATGGCTGCAATGTCCGTAATAGGTATAGATTTCGGAAGTGAGTCGTGTTATGTGGCTGTCGCCCGCGCTGGCGGCATCGAAACCATCGCCAACGATTACAGCTTACGGGCCACACCGTCATGCGTGGCCTTCAGCCCTAGAAACCGCATAATCGGAGTGGCCGCCAAAAACCAAATGGTCACAAACATGAAGAACACAATACATGGTTTTAAGAGACTTCTAGGACGTTCCATTGATGATCCATTCGTCAAACAAGAACTCAGACACCTGCCGTTCAATGTGGTCAAGTCCGATAACAACAAAATCGGTATTAATGTTAACTACCTAAATGAACAACACACTTTCAGTGTAGAACAAATCACCGGCATGCTCTTAACCAAACTGAAAGAAATATCCGAAATATCATTAAAAACAAAGGTAAATGATTGTGTAATTTCAGTTCCTTCTTATTTTACAAATGCTGAACGTAAGGCACTACTAGATGCTGCGTCTATTGCTGGTCTTAATGTTTTGCGCTTGTTTAATGAAACTGCGGCGACTGCTTTATCCTATGGTATCTACAAACAAGACTTACCCAATCCAGAAGAGAAACCCCGTAATGTTGTGTTTGTTGATTGTGGTTATACTTCACTCCAAGTCTTTGCCTGTGCATTTAATAAAGGGAAATTAAAGATGTTAGCCAGTACATTTGACTCACAGTTGGGAGGTAGAGAATTTGATTACATTTTAGCGGAACATTTCAGTAAAGACTTCAAATCCCGGTATAATATAGATCCTATGAATAATCCTAGAGCATTTTTAAGATTGTTGGCTGAAGTTGAAAAAATAAAAAAACAAATGTCCGCCAATTCTACTAAATTACCAATGAATATTGAATGTTTTATGGATGATAAAGATGTACATGCTGATATTAAGAGGACAGAATTTGAAGAATTGTCTATGCATTTATTTAATAGAGTTGAAGTAACATTAGAACAATGTCTTAAAGATTCCAAACTGAGTAAAGATGACATTTATGCTGTTGAAATTGTTGGCGGTTCTAGTAGAATTCCATATATTAAGAACTTGATAGAAAAAATATTTGGCAAAATCTCTAGCACAACATTAAATCAAGATGAAGCTGTATCACGAGGTTGTGCTTTACAATGTGCAATGTTATCTCCAGCTGTACGAGTAAGAGATTTCAGTGTGACTGATATACAGAGTTTTCCGATTGAACTCTTCTGGGATCCAGCTGACAATTCAGATGATGGACGTGCTGAAGTTTTTCCTAAAAATCATGCTGTTCCATTTTCAAAAATGTTGTCATTTTATAGAATGGCCCCTTTTACTGTAAAAGCTCATTATTCAGGATCTATTCCTTATGCTGACAACTACATTGGACAATTCACAGTACGTGATGTCAAGCCCACAGCAGATGGTGCTAGTCAAAAAGTAAAAGTTAAAGCCAGAGTTAATTTGCATGGTATATTCAGTATTAGTAGTGCTACACTTTTAGAAAAGGCCGAATTACAAGATGAACCAGTCCCGCCATCAGAACCTATGGAAACATCAGAAAAAGAATTACAGCCAACTGAAGTTGAAGAAAAGAAAGAAGAAAAGAAAAAATCCATCACAAAAACAATTGATTTGCGAATTGAGTCAATAACTCATGGATATTCAACTATGGACTTGAATAATTATATAGAACAGGAAGGTAAAATGGTAGCAGCTGATCGCCAAGAAAAAGAAAGAATAGATGTCCGTAATAGTCTTGAAGAATACATATATGATATGAGAAGTCGGATTTCAAGTGAAGATGATTTAGCTCCTTACATAGTAGATGCTGACAGAGAGAATATTTCTAAACAATTGGAAGATTTGGAAATTTGGTTATATGAAGACGGTGAAGATTGTATTAAAAATATTTATAATGAAAAATTGGATATGTTAAAAACTGTTGGTGAACCCATTAAAAGACGCAAGATTGAATATACTACTTTTCCTTCAATACAAACTCAAGTTGTTCAGTTGATTTCAAATGCTGAGAATAACATTGATTTATTTCATAAAGGAAATGAACAGTTCAACCACTTGGACTCTGCTGAAGTAGATAAATTGGCTGAAACTCTAAAAAATGCTAAGAGTTGGTTGGAAGAAAAGGCAAGCCAAGTAACGGCTACTCCTCTATACAAAGACATTCCTATCAAGTTAGATGAATTTATTAAAGAGAAACATAATATAGAAGAGAATGTATTAAAAGTTTTATATAAACCAAAGCCTGCACCCAAAGTGGAACCGCCGCCAAAAGAGCCATCTAAAGAAGAAGAAAAATCACCAACAGAACCCATGGAAACTGAACAACCAGTTGAAAATGGTAAAGATGCTTAAAAAATTTAATTATTTTTAACACTTTTTTCTATTGTTTACTATATTCAATTTTTTTTTTTTTTTATTGCAAAAATTTGTCACATCTTTTTTATGTATAATATTTGTATTCACAAATATGAAAAAATTGTATGCAAAATTTGTATTACAGTATACCTAATAGAAAAAAAAATTATTAGAACAATAATAGGCATTTTTATGTTTTATTATCTTCCTCACTCCTTTGTTAACTATTAATTAACTAACTTAATATTTGATTAAAGAAAATAAAAAAGAAACCTACATTATTAATAAATATATTAATTTTTTTTTAATATTGTCATTATATACCTTAGATAACATTGATTTTGGAATGTAATTAAAATGTATTGAATTACAATTGTATTGTTTAATTTGATATTATATTCATTGAGCAACATGTTTGTGTAGTTGAAAATAACAAATAAAGTTATTATTACAGTATTAGCTAACATGACATTAAATTTGTCTTACTGAAATTAATAATTACCATATAGTACAATATATGAAATCAAATTTTAAATTTATTGTGATTTGTATAGATTAAGTTTTAAATAATATTTTTACTTAATGATACAAATTAATAATTCTTTTAAAATTCACCACGCTGATGTGAGTTCTTCTGAACCTTATAAAACATTTAAAACTTACAAAATATGTGATGACTGTTTTAACTAAGTTAAATATAATGATTATAAATTAATATTACATTTGGTTGTCCAGTGCAAATAAGAAATAGCAAGTATGTAGAACAATCTCTTTTAAAATAGTTAATGTATTGATGAGAACTGACAAAGGAAGCTTACTCCAAGTGTAAGATTAAGCCAAGGAAGTTTATTAATAATTGTGTACCTAATGGAAAAATTTACTTGTGTTACTATGTTTATAGATCAGTTAACACCCTGCAGACATTTGTTAATATTTAATTTGATAAGCATTAAGAAAATTTCAAAGGATATTTAATAGTATTTAGTCATCAAACCAACCAAGCTATTTTTTGTACTAAAAATAGTATAGCTATAAAATTTTCAATATTGAACAACTATAAATAAAATAAAATATTTGTGTATAAGTATATATTATAATTAAACAATTTTGTTCACAATTTATAATAAATAATATATTACCATTAAAGTTTTATGTATTATTTCTTAAGTATTTCAATTACGTAAAATAATCAAAGTTTCAGTTTATTGAACATTAATTATAAATAAAAATGTATAGAGATTGTATATCAATATTGAGTACCATTATTGTATGTTTAACTCTTTTCATAAAACATTTGCGCATCAACATTATGAACTATAGAAGGATTGAAAGTGATTAGGTATACCCAATTTTTTCCCAACTTTCAGCTTAATATCATATATGGGTATTAAAGATTTAGGTGTAGTTCTGTTTTAATACAATATATATATATATATATATATATATACCTATTACGATAACTCGTAATAAGTTGTAAAAACAACCAGATATTATCAAATAATATATCTAGTTGATATTCTAAATTACCAAATTATAATTATACTTAATAACTAAGACAAACATTTTAATAAATGATATAAACAATTTTTGTATTTTCAAAATGATTGATGTGCAAATAATGTATATTGTTGGTACGCAAAATGATAACTGCTGATGCATTGACATAAGTCTATAGGTATATAAATATATACTATACTCTATCTTGCGGAACAATACTGTTTTTACCTACATCAGATCTATCACCATAATCCATAATATGAGTTTAACTTGTTAGTTTTATTCCAACTGTCAGGTATTTCAAATAAAAATTTTCTTTTTTGTAATAAAGCTGTTCTGTCCCATCACAGAACATCATATTGGTAACAGCGCAGAATCAGCATCAAATGATTTTGAAACAAACTATTGGGTATTTGGTTGTTTGATTATTTGAAATTTTAGTTTGATTTACAAACAATTCGTCAGATCTATAGTTAAAACACACGCGTTCTAACTGAAGTTTATCTAGGAAGTAATTCCTATACAGATTATTAAAATTCTGTAATGAATTATTAAATTAGGAAGAGGATGACAATGATCGAATGGAATTACAATTGAAAATAAATTAACATTAGTGACTTAGTTGTTTATATTTCAAAATCTGGTTTAACTCATAGTTTATACTTTAACAACTTTATTAAAAAGTAAAAATAATGTATATTTTATTTAAATATAAATACCATAATAGTATGAGTTATTAACCTGAAGACTGATAAGATTGTTCAATTACATTAATAATAACAGTGGACAAGTTATTTATATTTTTTCTAAGGTTTAATTATTAAAAAGAGAATTTGAAAACTGTTTAGCCACTTAGAAAAAAAAAAAAGTATATATTAAAAGAAATGTTCTGCTCATCCAACATTTTAATCACTTGCAAGCATTATTTGTCCAAAGCAGTGTTTGTTTTAATGGCAATCACACATTCCTCACCACAAGACTTCAATACAGTACACTAAAAAAAAAAAATTACTAAATGTAACTATCAATTTTTTTTTTCAATTATAAAAAAATCTATGTATTTTTTTTTTATTTACCAGAAGTTCTTTTCCAGCATCATATTCATTTTTCAATTGTTGACCAATTTCACCTTCTGGAATCTTCAAGTCTTCACGCAAATCACCATTATCAGACATCAAACATAAATAACCATCATCTGATATGTCTGTCAACTATTTAAAATAAAAAAGGAATATACTTAGAAAAATTATGTAATATAAATAAAACTATCAATATAAATATAAATGGTTTAATATTAATAAGATAATATCAACAAATAAGAGAAATAAGCACCTATTAACTCCCTACGCCACCACAAGCTTAGCTTAAGTGTAGGTAACTTTTGTTATTACTTTAATGTATTTATTTTAATAATAATAATTATAATAATTTAAGAGTATTTATTTATAATTAAATGTTTTTTTTTTTTATTGTATTGAAGTTTAATTTTTTTTACTTATATTATATTATAAAACTAGAAAGAAAAAAATAAAGAAAATTAGTGCTCAATATTTTTTATTTTATTTAATACAATTTACAATCTGTTACTTCTAGAACAATAAATAAAACACAGATTAATGAATTTATGGCTTGGAAAAAAAACGGATTAAAGAAGCCTTTCAGTAAAGACACTTTTTAACAGTTACTCAAATACAGAGATACATGTGTTCACAAAGATTAAAAAAGCAGTAGTGTCAAGACCTATTAATCTAGTCAAAATTCCAAATTGTGCAAAAATATTTAGTTTTCAAATAATAAACATAATATTCTTTTATCAAAATAAAATACCCAACATTATTATTTTAAAATCTTAAATATAATTTAATGACATCTATACTAATTTAAAACTTCTGAAAAGTGATTCCAGAAATGTAAATATAATGAAATGGAAAAACAAACAGTATTTGAAGACTTTAATTTAAATATTGAAACAAAATCTCAAGTATACAAAAATAACTAGTTTTTTTTTTTTTTTTATATAAACTATTAAATGTGAACTGTTCTACAAGTATTATAGTTGACACTTACTTAATATAACAATTTTTTAGAAAAGTATATTTGTGAATTGTTGTTATGACTTTCTTGAGCATGTTATTTTATGTTGGAAAGATTTTATAAAAATAATAAATAAATAAAACGTAAACAATATTTTCATAAAATTCATACGAAGTTTATAAGCTCTAAAATCATTTTACAGTAATTTAATGATCTATTTACCCAAATAATTAGGGTTTATAAATACTGAGAACTGAGGAATAGTAGATCTTTAGTTGACAATCATGTTGTCTGGTGTAAACCACAGGAAAGTGATTTACCATTGTACTATTCCTTATTTATATACATTTATATTTAAATCTGGGTATATTTATATATGTTACTTAATATCTTATTAAATAAATATTTTGACAAATTTGAACTAGCATTACTGAAAAAAAATAAATTCACAACTACAGCTAACAAAGATTATATCTGAATACTCGAATTGGGTGAACAATTTGTATATTAGACACAACTATCGTATTTGATATTTATACTTGAAAAATAAACTAGTTACCTGATAATCTTCACGTTTGACAAATGGAACATCCATATTATGGGTGGATGGACAAATATCTTCATATTTCTTACCGGAAAATATATCTAGGCCAACTAAATGAACCTTAGCGTGTCCATGTTTACCAGTCTTTGATGTGGACATGTCCACAATTTTACATGGGCGAGCCTAAATAAATATAATTTAAATAATTAAAATAAAATGTATATATATGAAAGTGTAATTATTATACAAGTCACAAAAACCACTATTAGTGTTACATAGCCAAAATATAACCTATAATAATGTTCTTTGTAATTTCCAATTAGATACATGAGTACATAATCTAAAATAATTAAAAATAAAACATCCACAAAAAAATTAGAAATAAAAATAGCTACAATTAATATAAAATTATATATACTAATAACCTATCATAAAAAAGTCATGAAGTACCTAGTCAAGAAATTCAAAATGGTTCTACAAAATTCTTTAAAAAAAACACTAAATGAAGATAAAATATCCATTAAAAATAAACACAATTTCCAATTTAAATACCATATTAAAAAAGTATACTATAACAAGTAAAAACTATTTAATTTGTATTAGTAATAAAATTAGGAGCTATCAGTTTGATAAATAAATAAATTATTTACCTATGAAAACACGTTAGGTAATTTATTTTAATTATAAATTTTATAATTCATTAAAATTTAATAACTAATATTTCCGACCAATAAATTTAAACAATAAAATCATAAGATGAGGAATGCATTACTTTCAACATAACAAAACCGTTCTTTCGTAAAGCTGAACATTGCATGGGGTATGTAGTCGATGCACCAGAGTCACCAGTATCAAAATGAGTATCCTCAATGTCAGCCATGATTCAAAATACAACTAAAAACAAAAATATAATAGTTACACGAAGATGAGAATATTATTCGTCATGAACAATATTGATGACATCCTGTTAACAGAAAATAACCTAAAAAACCTCGTGAGTTGTTTTATGTAGGGTAACAGTTCATATAGACGCTCAAAAATATGTAATAAACGATTTACTTACTTTGTTAATTGAAAGAATGACAAAGTAACTAAACTACTTAAAAATAACAAATACAAATTAAAGAAAGAGGCTGGAGAATAATACAATTATTTTTTAATTACTAAAAAGTACTGAGCGTCTGGGCCTTTGGGCGACACAACAGCAGAAAAAGAGACTAGAGAGAGACGATAAGTTGACGCTGTTTTGATGTGATTACCACCACCTAGGAGTCAACGATGTATGGTCATGGAAGAAACAAATATTCCGGCAAAACATATTCAAAATATATAAGTTTAAACATATTTATTAAACTATTACAAAATAAAGCTATTTACTATATTATTATCCTAATGATTAAATGGAGTAGAGTACAGGTTCATATATCTGATATATTTTTATATAGATTTTAAGATTTAAAAAAAATGTTTTGTTAATACATAATAGGTATAATTTTAAGATGGTGATCAAAAAACAAAATTAGAAACATATAAACACAATACAATAGTTTTTTTCACAAGTTTGGGGCAAGAAAGGTCGACTCCAAATAGTAGGGAAAATGGCAAAGGAGAAGTAAACACAGTACTACAATAATTACTTTTGTTTGTATGCATTTTTTTACATTGATTATAATAAAATATTTTTTTATAAATTAATTTTCATAATATAAGTATAAATATTAGTATAAACAGACTTATTTTATTTTATATTCGGAGCGTTATGAAGGATATATTGGTTTCACTATGACGTATGTTTTTTTTTGTATCTGTGAGCAAGTTTCCTACCAGAAAGCTTGCTCAGAAATATGTAGCAGCTTTTCTGAAAGGTAATTTTATCTAGTTGATGCATTAGGGAAGTCATTTATTGATTTTCTTAGGGATTTTCAAAATAATTGGGAAAAACCAGAAAGAAAATTATAGTTAAAATGGAAAATATTTATGGCAAGACAGTGGCGGCTTGTGGTAATTTAATCGTTTTTGTGGCAGTCATCCTACCTATCGTAAGTAGATACTAAATATGTGATTTCATACATCTGTCAGTGGAATATATGTGTATATACACTATTTTGGTATATATACACATATATGTGTATAATTATATAAATGTCCATTTCAAAGAAAAATGTGATAAAAAAAATGATTAGATAGAATTTTGTCCGACAAATATCATTTTATCGGAAACCAGACGATATTAGTTAAATACTGAATTGTAAACAGGTATACAATATTAATCACCTTTCATCCACTGTAAACACAATAGCTTAGGTCAGGGGTGTTCAACCTTTTGTGAATACTGGGCCACATCATGTAGGTAGAAGTTGTTGTGGGCCACATACTTTTTTAAATAATAATACATTCTAATTTAATGATTAAATTATAATCTATACTACAACAANTTTTTTATAATTTTACATTAGCGAATAATAAGCAGAAATATTTTTACAAGTATTGATATTTAATAATTTAATTATAAGTACACAGAAAAATATATTTATTTATAATAAAAAAAGTTTTAGTTTAAAAAAGTTAAAAGTCATTAGTTTTTTTTAATGTGAAATTTGAAATTGCTTTTTTTGTGAAAGTAATGAATCAATATCTGGATCGATTGAAGTTGTGAAAACCCTTAAACAACTTTCAAGGTGCTCGTCTGATATAGTGGACCGATTTTTACTCTTTGTGTTTTTCATTCTTGAAAACAATTGTTCGCAAATGTAAGTACTGCTAAAAAGCGAGAACATGAGTAAGGCATGGTGATGAAGGACTGGATATGTTTCTTTGGGTAGATATAATTTATCATCAATAGCTAAAGAATAATATTTGAAAGAACGGACTTTTTCCTCCAGTTTATTTTCGATGGACTTTCCAATGTCATTGATTCGCTTGCTTATAGTCTAATGAGACAGACTAATTTTTGAAGTCTGTTTTTTTATCAGGACACATTATATCTGCAACACTTTCCAAACACTCCTTAATAAACTCGCCATCAATAAATNCGGTTAGGGACTCAGAAGTAGCTTTTTTAATATTGAGTTGGTCCGATGCACACGTCCGTATGTAATATAAGATAAGATGCCGCAGCGGTAAAAACACGGACGTTATTTGATGGTTTATATTTTTAAAATAAATTTGTTCTCGTAATATTAATATAATATATATAATTGATTCATGGATTTTAAATTGAAGTGAGGGCCGCATCGAAATCTATCGCGGGCCGCGGGTTGGACACCCCTGGCTTAGGTCGTCGCTGCCGGTTTTTGTTTTTCATAGGTATATTTTTGTATAATATACATTCATTGAAAACAGGTTTTTTTTTGTGTGCGCCACGGACCGTCGCACCATATCCGAGGAAGCGAGTAGTGACCAACGGACAGCGGACTTATTGCATTTGAATTGTCGAATTCGATGACATTTTTCAAATATTTTCATTTTTCAATACTTACAATTTTGAATTATATAAATTATATTGAAAGAAATATAAACTATAACGATTACTATTTACTTTGACAATTAGTATAAGGTATATACAAATTTCATTTTGTTTTGAAATGTACGTAGGGAGAGCGATCACACCTTAGCACGAGATGCCACTGGTGTTACCGTTTTTATTGCTTCTAATTATAACTTATATTTTCTACCAGAAATATTGTTCCAATCGAAAAGTGACAATAGGGTTAATTTGTGTCTTTAAGTATATAGCCAAAAATCCGTTTGTTGTTATTAAATGTATTTTCCATAATAAATGGGAAATACCAAAAACAACGATTTTCAAATAAAATAAATTATTTTAAATTTCTACAGCTTGTTTTCTCTAAAAATATTGTTCCACTAGAAAAAACATAAAAGACCTCTTTTGTTGCATTTTTCGTTTCATATTAGTAAGGCAGAAAATTATTTGATTATAATGATTTTCTTTGTAGTTTTTTAATGATTAACTAATTGAGCAAAATTGAAAATTACGTAGAAAGAATGGGACAATTTACGAAATTAATTTTTTCAATATAATTGAAATTTACACAAAAATTATATTTGCTTTTTCTAGATGTGTACACATTTTCAAAACATTAAGTTTTTTTTGAGTTATTTAGAGATATTTTAATTTTACGAGTGGGTACTCCGTGGATAAAATTGTTAGATTAAACAAAAGTGCTTGAAAATTTGACAGGTTGTTCATTAGTTCATTATAAGTCGTACCTACTTAGTGTTAAAAAAACAAAACAATTTAATTTAATGTAGTTTTAATATAGTTAAAAAGTTTTAAAAATAAAGTTTGACGAAAATCATAAATATTACGGTCTTCATGTAGTTACCTAAAACCGAACTTTGCTCTGAATCGAATTTTGTTAGTAATAGTTTATCGTTAGTTACAGGTATAAACTAAATCATTTTATATATCTCACCTTCCCAACAGTAGCCCAACCCGTCCCCCGGTGATATATGATTGCGTACAAAAATGAGTGCAACGTTACCAACACAGGGGCGATCCAATGGGGGGGGGGGAGTTAGTGGGTGACACCACCTAAAGTCAATAACTGTAATTTCCAGTCGGAATTTTATAGCTATTCACAAGACCTATAGTACCTATCTAAATTTTAATATTTTAGTTTTCGAGCGTATAAGCGAGGGAGCTAAGATGCTTTTTTCTTTGTTCTAGTCTGTGGACATGCGTTTTCCTAGTAAACTTACTCCGATATTTACGTGTAGCAACTTTTCTGAAACTCAAGTTGTCTAGATTGTTTTTAGAGAGGTCATTTTTTGATTTTTGACGCCATTATTTAAATAAAAGCACTTAAGTGGAAAAAAACGTAGGAAAACGATTTCACAATTTCATTATTTTATAAAAATACGGATGACCTTTTGCACCAGAAAAAATTATTAAATTGAAAAATTACAAAATGCCTTTTTTGTTGTCTTTTTGATTTATTTTCTTACTTTCTTATCGCCAAAACTTTTGAGCTTTTAAAGAATTTTAGTTTAAAGGATTTTTTTTACTGTAATTCGGTCATAAATACACCTAGAGACTTGAAACTTGATAATACTTATATTGGATTTACCTAGACGTGGTAAAATTTCCAAAATCATCGTTAACAATGGTTTATTGTTGTTTACAAATACAAATTAAATTTCCTCTCTATATCCTTTATCGTACACTCTTAATTTCTCACCTACAACAGTGACCCATCATTCGTGCAAAAAATGTTTCTGTTTATCAAATTTAAGTTTTTATTTTTCAGAACATCTTTAAGAGGAATTCCTATGCGCCTGGTATAAAACAAATTTCAACAAATTTTTTTTCGTTAGTTATGGGTTATCGTTACATACAGATATAATTAATTAATAATAAATAAAGTCCTGTATCCTAACTTTCTAAGTCCTGGTATCAGTTCTTATTTTGTATAGTATTCATATTAAACAAAAGCTGCCCTAGGATAATAGGATGGGTGTATTCACTGTTATACATAAAAGTTAGGAAGGTTTTAGAGGGGAAATTTAATATATGTCTGTAAGCAACGATAAATTATTACTAACGAAAAAACGGTCCTGAGTGGAGATTGGTTGATAGTGTCGTTTTCTCAACAATACTACTATAACATAATATTATGGTAAAATGATTGCATTATATATTTTCTTTATAATATTTGTCTAATATTGTATTTAACCGTTTTTTCTCATTTATTGGAGAAATTTCTGAGAAAATCAAAAAATGACCTCCCTAAAGTACCTCTTCAGTCCGATTTCTTTTAAGAAAAAGTGCTATTATTGTAAATCGAAGCAAAATTGTCTGTAGAAAAATTGTTCATAGAAAAAAAAAAAAATGATCATTATAAAACCCATTTATTCCTCACTCCATTCAGAATTTAAAATAACTGGTAACAACTACTATCTCGCCATTTTTATCGGTTGTAAATTAACAGTTACCCTTTGAAAAATTTGTTTTTATTACCTATATAATGCAATCACACCAATATAATTATTGGATCGGCTCTACTGAATTTAAAAATATAAAAATTTCAATCAACTGTTTACTTATATTTCTATGTAAATAGGTACGTAAAGATTTATAGGAATAGGATATATTAGATCACTATCTCAAGACATGGATGGAGTATATCTGTAAGTATGATTACAGTTCTAATTTTATCATTTATTTTATGAGCAATTTAAGTGATACTCGTTGGGAAGCTAAAATTAGTATGTAATGTTTAAGGGGTGAAGTTATTTCAATAGTTGATAATATAATTGAGAGTAGACAGAGGTGGCTGGGAAATATAATAGTAGCTTAGACAGAGGCTTTAAGAGTAGCTTTATGAAGCTTTATGAAGTGTGATAGAAGAAAATCAGAAAGAAGATGGTTTTACACAATCAAGAGTAAAATGAGTATAGCTTGGAGTATGTATTAAGGATGTGAGACTAAATAATATGGAAATCTAGGACCAATGTGATAGATACCAAATAGTTTGGAATAGAGGTAAGGGAGGAGAAGAAAATCATAAACTAGATACTCATAGATAATACAAATGTATTATAAATGAAACGGTAGTAATAATTTTATAAAAACATGTGTATAATGTAAATTTATATATATATATATATATATATATTCCAAGAACTTGGTCGAGAAACATATTTTAATTGTATGTATATTTATGTCAAAGTGTAATAAGGAACAGTTATAGTAATTACATAAAAACTAAAGGAATTTAAAAAATTTGTATTCATAAACATATTATATTTATTACCTAGTACTTACAAGGTAGAAATCTCATAAATGAAAAATAAGCAAAAATAATTCACCAGCATATTGTATTATTTAATTGGATAACTGAAAATAGCAAACAATGGTAAATGATCTGATGGAGATATTCTATTAGGCATAGCTAATATTGGTTGACATTCATTGGCATTTGGAAGCTTCATGTAGGTTTTCAATGTTAAGCTGTCATTCCTACAATCACGAATAAATAATAATAATTATTAAAATAACTAATTTTATAGTTCATAGTTTATAAATAGTATTTATTAATAAAGAAACATATTACGTGTAAAATATGTAATCTACAATAGTCCAACGATTATGATAAGTAGAACAGCTGGAATCATTGTACACTGTTGAAAACTTAAGGTTATGATACAAACTACCAGTCCCAGATCTAAAAAATAAAATATTAAATTTAATATATATATCTTAGCTAATAAAACAAGTAACATAACAACCTAAATTCTGGTGGTGGTGAAGTTGATAGTTGTTCTGTTTTTCTCTCACTATGATGTAGCTGAAATTTAAAAAAAAAACTATTTTTTAAGAGGCGTTAACAGTTCTAAAAAAAAAATTTTTTTTTTCATAAATATATATTTAAGAACCTGCATATTTAACATAAATTACCTTTTGATGTAAACTACTTGTTTTTAAATCTATTTGGCATTAATTTATTTATTAATTATTTACAAATCATTCAAATACATTATAAAAAGAAAATAAGGCAAAAGAGTAATACTGTAGATAAATACAGCCACTGTTTTAAGTTGAGAATGTAGGATGTTTACAATTATTTAAATTATATCTGTTGGAAAAAATAAATCATTGCTAACGAAAAATGATTCAGAATGAAGTTTGGTAAAATATATTTTGAAATGTCGTAATTTTTAGAATTTGTATTAAAATTTGGTCTTAAAACACTTAATTAAAAAAGAAATATTCCATCAAACTCAAATTTGCTTTTTAGACTATTAAAAAAAACTTATAATGTACCTTTTGTCAAATTTTCAAGTATTTTTTTTAAGTCTTATAATTTTAATAACAGATACCTAACCTACTAAATAAAAATATGCATAAAAACATGAGAATATTAAATATAAATATCTAAAAATTGTTATATTAATTTGAACAATTTATGTCAACAAAAGGCTAATATAAGTATTTTGTAAAAATTATAGGTCTCTACAATAATCAGATAACAACAATAACCTAAGTGTTGTCCAGTTTATAGTATTTTCTAAATTTTTTATAATTATTAGGAATAATAAGATTTATGGTACAAAAATAAAATCTTAAAAATTTTAAATATCAAAATCATTGTGCCATAATTTGAAAAAATCTTATTTTTGGTCTTTTTGGCTTTTCTTAATTATTATGAAAACTACTTTAGGCATCAAAAAATGACTTTCTCTGTCCTGTCAGTGGTTAGATATTAAGTGCAACAAAATTTATTACTTGTCAGTTTTTAATTGGAACAATATTTCTGATAGAAAACGTAGTTTACAAAAATTAAAACAATGAAATGCTTCATCGCGCTATAAATATTTGCTGTTTTACCAATAATTTTCTTTACAGTTTTCCTAATTATTTTGAAAACCCATTGGAAAAACAAATAATAACTTTCCCATGCTCCAATTAGAGAAAATTAACCTTCAGGAAAGCTGCTATACTCTATACATCAGAGGAAGATTTCTAGGAGAAAAGTTGTTCACAGACAAAAAAAATATACATCATAGTTAAACCAACAGATGCCTCGTTACATTCCGAGTTTAAAAAAAATTAATGATTTCTTGTCTTTTTTTATTGGATCAAATAGTTTTGGTAGAAAACATAAAGCATATAAATTTAAAAAAATGAAATTCTAACACTAAAATATTCAGTTTTTATTTTACTATTTTACCTAATTTTTATGAAAATTACTAGGAAAATTTAAAACGATTTTCTTCATGTGCAACTAGATCAGAAATACAACAAAAAACGTCTCTTGTCATTTTCAATTAAAGCAATATTTTTAGTAGAAAACATAAGTTACAAAAATGTAAAATCATGAAATTGTTATTCAATAAAAATTTGTCAGTTTATCCCTGTTTTTCTTAATTATTATAAAAACCGCTTGGAAAAACAAAAAATGTCCTCCCTTAAGTATCAATTAGATAAAATTATCTTTTAGAAAATGTACTACTTTTGATACATCAGAGTAAGATTTCTGGTAGAAATTTTTTACACAGTATAAAAAATAAACATCATTGTAAAGCCATTACACCCTTCATTACACTCCAAAACTAACATTTATACTTACTAACAATGAATACAAGTTTCAAAATTAATTTTACGACCATTTTTTTGATTAGTATATTATTATAAATATGCAAAAATGTTTTTGAATGAATTCACGAAAATACAATTAATAGTAAGTTATTAAATAAGTTGTAATTAATAAGTTGGAGAATTCTCTCTCAATAATAAAACATAATAATTTGTATTTATTTTTTTTGAATATTTTGAACAGTATATTTTCAATAATATATTTAATTTACCTTTAAATAAAGAGAGTCATTTGTTTGACGATTATGGTTATGTGCTTCCCTTAACTCTAAAACATTTGCATGTTGACTATTTTCAGTGATACACAAACTTTTTGGAATAAGTTCATTTCCCATGTCAGCTCTTCCACTGTTATCATTTTGTATCCATAAAGTTGGTCTTTGTAAATTACTGTAGTATAATGAACCTCTAATTAAAAAATCATAAACCGCAGTGTGAGGCTCCAAGTTGAAATCCCCAGTTAATATTATGGGGTGGTATGTAGAGATTGTACGTTTCCCAACACTAAAATTATACAAGAGTTCATTATTTGATTTTATATAAAACATTAAAAATGAATAAATAAATTCTGAAGAAATGTATACTACTTTTTATATCCCTTATAAGCAACACGTTCAATTTCAGCCAGTAGTAAATGTACTTGAGCTAATTTCACATCATGCCTTTTTTTGTTATATAAAATGTGGGTAGTTGAAATAATTAAATGTGCTTCTTCATTTTGTCGTGGTGCTAATCTCAATACAATCCCAACATTGTCACGATCCAAAACATTGACTCCAGGTTGATTATATTCCACAGTGACCTTTTCTATAAGTGTGAATTTTTCATTTCTATAATAAATGGCACAACCATCACAGTGAAAACGAGTTCTTTTTTTATATACACCACTATAACCTTAAAAAAAATTCATATGAAATATATTAAGGCAGTAACATAAATAAATTATTTACCCAATTCTGATAAATTTTTAAAAAACCAATTCAAATGAGATTCTTGAACTTCCTGGAAACAAATTATCTAAAACAAAACAAAAATGTACATAATTTGAATATTATATAATAATTAATTACTTAATGAGTAAAAAATAGAAATGTTAAATAAATTGAAATATAAGCTTACATTTTTCAACTAATTACAAAAAACCTTAACAACTGTGAGGATACCAAGAATTTACTTAGCTATTAGTGGTATTCCAAAATAACAAGAATACAGACAAACAATAATGTAGTATGCCTACATTACCTGAGAAGTGATAAGGTCTGCTTTTAAACTCTCTTACAGAATCAGATAAACTCTGGATAAACAGGTCTGTGTGTACCTCAAAGCAAGATTTCCAAAATTAAACCACTAAAGGATGGCTCACCCAAGATGAGCCTATCACTGTTGTTAAATTAGTTACCTAAAAAGTAGCAGGACATTTGTTGTACAGATATTTTTACTGATTAGTTTTTTACAAAAAAAAAATAGATCATTACATTTCTACACCTGGTACTAATCATAGCTCAACCTATTGTACACAAATTTAATAAGGTATATATTATATAATAATATAAACACTTAATATTACATAATTCATAATATTATTTAAAATTAAATTAAGATTTATATTTTAAAGGGGGGATAGATGGATGAATAAAATAAAAAATTTTCAGAATGTAGTGTTGCATTAAAAAGTGTTTGAAAACATTAGTTAATGATTTAATTTCGGCATAACCAATACTATACAAATTATTTTCAAAAAAAAATACAATATAGTTTGCATTATATGTATTTTAAACACTTTTTTTTTTATAGGTAATTAATAACTCTGTAGAAGGGAATCTGAATACTCTAACAGTACCTCTACCAGCAGTAAGAGACGATTGGATAAATTGGATTATATCAAGTCAATATCTGGTGTAAAATTCTGTCAAACTGTATGAGGAGTATTAAAAGAAACTGGCAGATTATCTTATCTCGGATGTGTGCAGGGATAACAGTTTTACAAAAGTGAAGTGGTACCGCCTATATTATCTGGTTCAGAGTGTTAGGCAATAGACAGAAAAATATAACAGAGAATGAATGCAGCAGAGATGAGAATGTTTAGGTGGATGAGTCGATTGATGAAAGAAGATAAGTACATTAGAGGTAGCTTAGACATAACTCTATTAAAACTGATTTTTTTTTATGGAATCCTATTTTATCAGATAAAAATTGTTTGATAGAATGTAGCTCTTCTTTTAAAAGTTGTAGTATTAATGGCATTATTAAAATTATTTCATTTAAAATTAAATAAATAACAACATTTTTTTTTATCAGCAATATAATTAGAGGATTTAAGTGAATTTCATTTTTGTTTTTTTTGGATCATTGAGAAATCATTTAAGCTTTATTACAAAACCACTTTTAATTTTAAAAATATACTTTTGTTTTTCAAATAGGAACTATCTCTCTGAACAAGGATTCAAATAAAAATATTTTTCTAGAAATTTTGATATTCATTATTCTTAAAATAGATTTACCATTTATGACTTATAACCATTTAAAGTATGCAATAGAGGAGTAGGGAAGAGTTATCAATTTATTATTTAAAAATAGATGTACAATTTATCACACTTCTCTGCTTTTTTGGTCTTAAATTTAAAGGGTTATAACTTATAAAATATTTGCTATTTGAATCTGTGTTCAAAATGAGGAGTTTCTATATGAAAAACAAAAATACATATATACTTATTTAAGATATAAGATACCTTATATATATAAATAAAATTATTGTTATACAAATATTATCAATGACACTTTTTGAATATTAAACAAATTTTGACCTTTTCAGATTTAACATGAATAATCTAAATATTTACTACCTAAAACAAATATTTCCAGAATCTACAGTTCCATGTATTACTTGGTGCTTGAACAGTACACTTTGTAAAAAAAAAAATGTTTACATTATTGAAAACAAATGGTAAGTTTTTAATTATAAGTTTATAATTGAACTAAATATGAAAATATTAGGGGGAATAAATCTCCAGTGAAAATTACAAAATGATTTTATGATTATGAAAACATTTAAAATTATTAAAGATTAAACTTAACTTATGTAATACTTACATCTGCATTAAATTGTTTTATTTCATCTAACAAAATTTTTCTTCGATATTCCCAGCTTAACACCTCTAAATCCGACCAATCATATAAAAATGCATTTTTTTCTAATAATTCTTGAGCCAAAATATTGTATGACAGCAGACTAAAATCGAGTGATTTGAAAAAAGCCTTGTCTAAATATAAAAATTTAAAATCAATAATAATTTTCTTATTAATTTGTATAACTTACTGCCATCGCCTCTATGTTGTAAAGGTCTAATATTTTTCATGTAGTTCTTAAAATTGAAACCTGAAAATGTTTTATTTCTGAGCAATTAGAGATGGTAGATAGTTGTTTTAAAATGTACTTAAGACTTACTGCATGATTGTAGGTGAACGGCAACAGGCAAAATTAGCATTTGGATATAAACGACCAAAGAGACATAACTTATTGAATGTTCTGGTAAGATACATAAAAGAAACAAGAATGACATATATGTGCTAAGGGAAAATAAATTGTATACCTATTCTTAATAACAAAATTAAATTAAAATCATAACATTTACACTTGCCAATTAGTTAAACATACAAATAAATTAATCAAAATTAATACAAAGTCTGAAATAGGAAAAGGAAGTATTGATAAGGTGATAAGGATAACACTAAATTTTTGACAGTGTATTTTTAGTAAAAATGATTTCCAACATGTTATGCTACAGTATTCAGACTTATTTACTTTGGGATTTATAGATAATATAAATAATATAATAACTAATTAATAAGTAATTATGTTATTATTTTATTTAATACCCTATATTATAAATATTATTATACATAGCTTTATTTTTGAATTTTAATGTCTTCCAATATTGGTATAATAACAAGATGAATGCGGGTAGGTGGTGCGGTTTCGCTACGTTGATAGCCGCCACGCATGGGGATCGTAGGATGCGGGTGGGTGGTTTATCAACATCACTGCAGTCATAAAGTGCGCGTGTATATAGTTTACCAGATCAAACGAGTAGCGCTCTCTCGTGAAACCATTAGAACTACTTATATCCATGATAAAAATATTATAAATACAACAAAATTCTTTAAGTGTTTGTACTTTATAGTATTTACTTTTTGCGTACACGCTCCACCTGTGTCTAATGTTTTGTGGTTTTGTAAAACAATTTTTAAATGTCTGAATAAGATCTCTTAGTTTGGTGGGAGTCAGATCTGTGAAGCCATCTGAAATCAACAATTAGTCAATAAGCTACCACTTTAAAGTTCTAATTATTTTCTGTTTTGACTCGATGAATCATGACTTCATGCCTGGAATCTTCTATGCATCATGAATAGATAAAATAAACTATGTTTCATGTTCTATGAATTATAATTAAAGTTTGTCCCCATCATTCTAAACGTATATAACCCATAGACACATTATGGACTATATTTGATTTAACCTAATGCTGAAAAACCCGGGCTTTTGTTAACAAAAAAAATCGAATGAAAAACCACAACCAAATGAAAAAATGAACCAATCCAGTGAGTTAACTTCAACACAGGTAATAAAAATAGAGCGAGGTTGAGAAAGTAAAAATGTATTTATGTTCGCACGCTTTAAATCTAAATCGTGGACAATTTCTCTGCCATTGAATATTTAAATGTATTACAATTACGAGTAGGTATAAGCAAACAAAAATTATATTATTTCAATTTGAAAATTAATTTTTAATGGATTATAAAATTATTTAAATGTACTACAATATAATTAATGTATCATAACGGATTAACTATAATATAAATAATAAAATATATTTTAACTATTCATCATTTTAATTTCTTCCCTTTTTTTGTTTGTAGCTACAAATGATTTTTTTAATATTTAGGAACACGTAAAATTTAATATTTCATTAAAATGTAGTAATACGTCTATAACATGGAAAACACGGTCTTAGAAGAACCTTGGTCCATATATACATTTTGGTATTAAGAAAAAAAATATTTATTTAATATGTACCTACTAAAACAACGACAATCAGATATTCTTGCAAATAACCGATATTATGGATAAATTGACTACAAATATACTAAATCTTTTATTTAAAAAACCAAGTTCAAATATACAATATAACATATTTTGAACCTACATCTATAGCATATTATTTTATACTACCTATTTTATATAAGGTTTTTCAAGCAATAAATTAGAAAAATAAGATAAATAGATTTCCAACAAAATACTTATATCTACATCACAATATCCTGTTTAGTACAGTTTTTTCGTACATCGGTTACCTTATTAATTTTATGTGCTGGAAGTTATCATTAAACCAATCAAAAAATATAAGAAAAAATTTTAGTTAAGATGCCAATAACCGTATCTTTTTCTTGTGGTTTTTTTTTTCCTTCGTCAGATTCTTATTTTTCCTACGTCGGGGCTTTTTTTTATCTACAATTCACATTTTAGGTACTTAATATCTATAAGAAACTCAAAAATATATATACAGATTAAAAAAAAATTGTACAAATATAAGTATATTTAATGTATGGTACCTTAGACATTTAACTAGTTTATAAATCTATGTTAAGTGTGTCACGGAACATGAATATTTCATAGTAAAGAAAACAGATTTCGAAGTGTTCGTCATATCATATAGTCGTCCATGATTCGAACTGTTGCTTCGCTCCTCGACAACAATATTCCCCTACCATCGTAGATGCCCGACGATTTATTATCAGTAGTTCGTATACCCAATATGGCGACGTACCGTTCTCAACGATTGCTCTCCGGCTAATCAATCCAGCCTATCGGACATCGGTGACTCGCGGATTACAGTCTGTGTACCTAGACTCGGGAGCAGCAGCAGCAGCAGTGCCGTTTCGTTCTCGGGGGCTGGCTGCAGCTTTAGAGTAAATGATGTGGTGGGGGTAACAGTGGGCCACAGTGGTTTATTAAAGATTATTTATGTGTTGTAGTTCCCGTCCCGTCCGTCCTTTCGTGTGCGTGTGCGTGTGTGTGGGTTTCTCTTCTTTCTATAATAACAATAACAACAGTCAACATCATCTCGCTTATCCCGAATCTTGGGTCGACTGCCCAACGTGCGAACATTATAGTGAGCGTGTCCCTATGCTTATGGACGACGGCTGCAGCTGGACAGCAGTCGTTTTGTATTGCGCGATGATGCCGCGAGACCGACACGGCATCGATCGCGGTTGATCTGCGTACAGTGGCCGCTGTGCGTCACAGTGATAACGTTCGTGTTTTTATGCGTCGTGATTCGGACCAACGGCCGCGATAATGGAAGAGACTAAAGTGATCTATCATATCGACGATGAAGATACGCCGTATTTGGTCAAGCTGCCTATTGCAGCAGACAAAGTTACGCTGGCCGATTTCAAAAACGTCCTCAATCGACCCAACTATAAATTCTTCTTCAAGTCTATGGACGATGACTTTGGGTTAGTGATAAGAACCAACTATAAATGCTAATTAGGGACTTTCTTTTCATATAAACTCGAGTTAATTAATAAGTCTGTTTGGATTATTATATAATATTTATTTTGGTTTTCTACGATTCTGCCTACACATTTCGGTTTCTCGGACTATACAGATTATGTCACCTGTAAGATGACCCCAATGATACTTAATTGAGAGTTGTCGGTTATGATAAATGAAGCTGATTATTTTATTTACAGTTGTTTTATTTGTGTTTTGATACTTACAAAATACATACTTACCTAACTACATACGTGCCTACCTACCTTGACAGGTTTAGTACCTTAGTACATAATTGTACAGTTACCATATCTAAGTATGGTTGAAAATAGTTATAAGATGTTGAAACTCAAAAAACATTTAACTGTATTAAATATATGGTCTTAATTATACACTTCTAAGTTATTTCCAACTATTTTGCGATTTTATCATTTTAATAATGATTGCTCCTTTTTTGTGGGGTTGGTTTGTTAGATACAGGTGCGTTTACAAAAAAATATTTCAGGGAGGTTTAAGTTGTACTCTTGTTTTCCAAAACCAATAGAAGTAATAATTGCACTTTATCTAAAGTGATTGTGTGCTATTCATTATTTTGTTGCGCTGATTCAGATAATTTAACATTTTCGAAATCGAAATAATGTACTTCCGACTAACTCTGTGACTATTGATTCTTTATTAATGCCTAGTGAATACACATTAACCTTAAGTAATTTACTTATTGTGCTATTAATAACAAAATATTAATATTCACAACTAATGAAAATTAAAATTTTGAATTAATATTTATCTGAGATATTTTGTCTTGGAATATTTTGTTGTAGAACCGATCATTTTTTGATTTTCACAGGAGTTTTCCCAATAAATGAGAAAACAGGTAAACCAGGAAAAAGGAGAAAATAGATTCAAACAAATGTTTTTAAGGAAAATAAATAATGTATTTTTAGTTGTTTTACCCTAATATGACGTTTATATTGTTGACAAAGCAATATTTACTATCAACCAAATTCGACTCGGAATCTTTTTTTTTGATAGCAATGGTTAATCAATGTTGACAAATAAACATCAAATTACCCATAACAGTGGCTGCATTGTCTTATTATCCTGGGACAGGTTTTTGGCATTTTTGGTACCCATTACTAAATTTTGCATTTAATATTTTGTATTGAATACAGCCTAAATGATAACGTAATCCATATTGTGATGATTATGTGGACTATGCGATATTTAATATATTCTGTAATATTACTGTATCAGTTTTCTAAAAGCAGGAAAACCGAAATAAATTAGGAATGATAATAATAACAATATATACCAATAAGTACTACCTAGTACTTAATAAAATTAAAATAATACCAAAATTGTATTTATTGTCCTCATTGACAGAAATAACTTTTTAGATTATTAAATATCGATTTTCATCATCATTTTCATGAAATTTTCGAGTGGAGGGGAGTGGTTGAACCCCTTAAACCGGCTAGGTTAGGTTAGGTATACAAATAATAGTATCTGTTGAATAATACATACATTTTATTTGTATTATTTAATGTTTTATTTTCTTTTAAATTTTAATCAGTTCTAAAATGAATGGATTTTTATTAAACATTTATTAGAATTAAATAGGTACCTTTAATGGTTTTTAAAATAAATTATTTGGTGATGTATTTAACACAAGAAAGTAAAATAAGGAGTATACAAGATAAATATTTATTTATTGATTTAACTATAATATGTATAATTTTAACCAGGTACTTGTATATTTTATATTTTGTGCCTATTTATTGAAATCTGAAATTTTATTTTAGGGTTGTTAAAGAAGAAATTGTTGAAGATGATTCTCCATTGCCATGTTTTAATGGTCGTGTAGTTTCATGGGTAAGCTTAATGATTCGTTTTAATGTTATTATATTTCTGGCATTTATTTGTCGGTTATTGCGACTACCTTGTAATTACATATCACTATATCAGTTATCGCAATACTACAGACTTTATGTTAACCTTATTTTGACTACTTGTAATACACAGAGAATTACTCTAAAGTGATTATAATAATATGCATATTCAAATCAGACTAGTTAGAAAATTGTACGCAGCATTTTCTAACTATAAATCATACATACCTACAATTTTGTTAACCCTGAAACTGGTACTCGCACTCGAAAATTTAGAAAGATTTTCGAGGATCTGTTAAATGACAGTTTTAAAAATAAGTTCGGCAATATTTCGATAGTTATCTGATTGGGTTTATGTAGTAAAAACTCGTAATAATTAATTTATAAATCAGGGAGTCGCGTTAACCAACAAGAGTATTAAATAGCCTTACCTATTGTTTGTTGATATTATGCAAACAGGAATTGTTACCTTGTTAGTTGCATAATATTAACATTATTTACATATTTACCATATTACGTAATACTTAAAATAATTATTTCTCATTCAATATATATATATATATATATATCAGTTGGTTGCTGCTGAAGGAAGCAATATCTCTGATGGAACTTCTCAAGGCACAGATTCTGGCCATCATACACATAGAACTCATGGCGATAATCAGTAAGTACCTATAACTGAAGTCTTAATTACTTACATAAAAAATAATTTTCATTTTACTTATTAAATAATAAATTCTTTATTACTAAATCATAATTATAATACAATATGTTATTTCATCTTAATACTTTAATCTAATCTTTTTATAATTTGCACCCATATATAATCAGAGCTAATAAAACATCATCGCGAGTACACCAAGAAGAAATTGGAACTTGTACTGATACAGAATCCTCAATATCAAGTTCTATTCGCCCTGGACATCATCATATGGCTCGTGAAAGTCACCATCGTCTAGCAAATCCTAAGTTTCTTAAATATAATGGTTTGGGTATGAACGGCCACCCTAAACAACATAGGCCTTATGGTTCATCATCAATGTTAAGCTCAGAGTTAGAAACTACAAGTTTTTTAGAATCTGATGAAGATGATGCTTCAAGTCGGATTACAACAACAACTGGACGAGCTACTAATGTTTCCAGTGGTAAATTATCGGACATTAAAAATTATTTATATAATAAAGTAAATTTACTACTTTTTAGATATATATATAATTTTTAATTTATAAATTTAATAATAAAATTCAGCATTTTTTTAAAATGAAATAGGGTTTAATTCAGAAAACTAACATCTTAAATATAATTAATCTTCGAGTAAAAACTTGTTATCATTGTCCATTTATAAGTCTATTTTATTTATAGAATGGCAACGGTTAGCTGGAAGTGGTCGTCGCCGAACTCAACAAAGGCGTAAAAGACACCAGAGACCTGCTGGTCCAGGGGGAATGTGTCGTACATCTTCATTTTCCTCAGTCACTGATTCTAGCATGTCATTAAATATTATAACTGTAACATTAAACATGGATTCTGTTAATTTTTTGGGTATATCTATTGTTGGACAGAGTAATAATGGTGGAGATGGTGGAATTTATGTTGGATCGATTATGAAAGGGTAATACTGAAATTCGTATAATTGATATATATTAGGTATAGAGACTCAAATGAACTCAAACAAATTTACAGATATAAATACTATATTATTCTGTATACAATGACATGATTTATTGATATGTCTTACTTTTTTGAAATATGTTTTTTTTTAATAAAAAATATTTTAATTTTAGTGGTGCAGTAGCTTTGGATGGTAGAATTGAACCTGGTGATATGATATTACAAGTTAATGACATTAATTTTGAAAATATGTCAAATGATCAAGCTGTCCGTGTGCTAAGAGATGTAGTGCAAACACCTGGGTAAGTGTAAAATTAATTTTATTACATTTGCTATGTATTAATTTAAATAATATAATTTAGAAACTTAAGTTTTTAATGGTTATTTATTATATTTTTTAGACCTATTAAATTAGTAGTAGCAAAATGTTGGGATCCCAATCCTAAGTCATACTTTACTATTCCACGAACTGAACCAGTTCGACCAATTGATCCTGGTGCATGGGTAGCTCATACTGCTGCAATGAGAGGTAAAATTAAATTGTAATTTTAGATTGTTACATTGACTTACAATTCATTTTTCATTTCAGGGGAAACTTATCCTTTACGACCACCATCAGTATCAACAGTTACATCTACTAGTTCGTCTCTAGTGTCCACCATGGCAGAAACAGAAAGTATGTTATAAAGTTTTATTTGATACATTTTATATAAGAAATATTACATTAATTTGTTTTTATTTTTAGTAAATGCTGTATCTACTAGTACATTTAAAGATCTTCAGCTGGATATTCGTAATACTGATATGCTTAGTATTGTTAGAGCTATGGCTAGACTTGATTCTGGTTTAGAAATCAGGGATAGGATGTGGCTCAAAATTGTTATACCTAACTCTTTTATTGGTTTGTAATTTATCCAATGTTTATACTTGAAATTTAACATAATATTTATTTATAAATCAACCGGTAAACACCCAAAAGGATGTTTGGTAAATGTAATGGATATTAACTAAAAATTAATTTAGGTGTTGATGTGGTTGAATGGTTAGAGACACACGTTGATGGTTTTCAAGATCGTAGGGAAGCCAGGAAATATGCATCACATATGCTCAAAGCTGGTTACATTAAACATACCGTTAATAAAACCACATTTTCTGAACAATGTTATTATGTATTTGGTGACCTACTCTCTGCAGGTAATTTATTATTTTTAGCATATAGTTTAGCATTATTAATTGTAAATTATTAAATTGAATGTTTATTTATAGGTATGGAGCAAATGAAAATTGAGGGTGATCCAATTGATAATGTTGGTGTTACTAGTCGTGGTGCTTGGGATATGCCATATTCAGGAACTTATAATCCTAATTCTTCACCAATGCCATTTAATTACCCTGGCGAACCACCACGTTATTTGTTTGATAAAGATGAAAGTGGTTCAGGTAACTGTTATTTATACCCTATATAGTTTAATATGATATATTATACAAGATTGGGATAAATATGAAATTAAAATTAAAAAATTTAGTAATACTCTATACTATAAATAAGTCTGGCGAAACTTATGCAGGTGAAAAAACAGTCCGACTACTGTGATTGTTTGCAGTGCTCGGCATTTACCATTTCTCATTATAGTCAGTTGGTGGTGCCACATTGCGCCTTCATGTACAGATTTTAAAAATTAAAATAATAAATTTTAGCATGTTAGCAATACACGACAGGTGTAAATATCAATAGCTACAAAATCTGAATTAAATATCCATAATACTGCGTTATTTTAAATAATTATTACATTATTACTTATATACACATTTATGAAAACTAAAAAATATTTTTATTACGTAAATCATACATTTCATATTTACAATTATTAAAAAATGTAATAAGTATTTACAAATATTAAAAGTTAAATTTATCATTGTTTAAAATTAATCCATAACTGTATTATCAGATAATGTGTCTCTTGTAACTATCAGTTTCAAATCTGTTAATTCTGTTTACTAAACCGTACGTTAACGTTGAAAATCAATTTCATAAAACTTTACTTTTTTTGTTATGGCTTATAAAATGTATCCACACGGTTCGAGCCTTCTATCAATAATCGTTTTACATCAGGAAGTTTGTATGATCACACTAGTTCTATAAGATTTAGTTCAGTGGTATGGTGGTAATCTTAAAATGGTCTGGTGGTTATAGCTATAACTATTTCATTGATTACATATCTTTCACTTTAGCATCAGACATTTCATCATAAGGAGTTCAGGAAGCCTGTCTATAACTTCTTCCTCATCAGTTAACTACTTAATAATATTCGTCTTCCGAGTATGACCTTTACCAAGTGATAGGATGCATATCCATAACGATAATGGAGTTTAGTTTTAGTCTTGACAAAATACTAAAATGGCTTCTATCCACTTACAGAATTTGTCCCCATTCATCTTATCATGGTAATCGCTTGTATTTTTTACTTAAGTATAATAATTCATGGAGAAAATGGATTATTTTGAAAGAAGAGCACTTTGAAGAATTTATGGGCCTATTTTAGAATATGGAATGCACAGAAGAAAGTTAATAAAGAGGTGTAACTCATGTACCAAAAACACGGAATCGATGCATACCTTATCTTATAATTATAGACCGGATTTAATTGCATTTAAAATACAAAAATTGCATTTAAAAATGCAAAAGTTTTATAAAAAAAAAATTAGATAAATGTTACTTTTTTTTAAATTTAAAATTGATAATTAGATACATTTCTATATTATTTTAATTAAAATTAAATCTTCTATTACTTAAAATGTGTTTGTACAAAGAAAGACTACGTTCTACATCTACACTACATATATTTAAAATAATTAAATGAAGTATGCAATATATTTAAATTAACAGAGTTATGTTGCTAATTAAGCAACATTTGCTTTACCTGACATGACTTCATAGTAAGACTTTAAAGTTTTATATACGGAGATTGGCGAAGTTGTGTTATTTTATGTTTTGCCAAACGCTGGTGCATTATCATGGTGAAGAAGCCAGTCGCTACTTTCCCAAAACTGTGGTCGTTTTCTTCACACTGCGTCATGCAATCTTTTTAAAACTTCAACATAAAATTCCTTGTTGATCGTCTGACTTCTGGGAGCATATTCATGGTGTACAACACCTTAATCAAAAAAAAAAACAATCAACATCTTCTTAACATTACTCCGATTTAGTTGAGCTTTTTTCGGTCGTGACTCGGCTTGTTGCTTTTTTTCAGGATCATAACCGTAAACCCACGACTCGTCTATTTAAGCACATTTTCATCATTAGTGACCAATTCCAAGTTGTCCTTTGCAATTTTAATTCGAAGATTTTTTTGTTTACCGTAAGCAATTTTGGAATGAATTTCGCACACACGTCAGTCATGTTTAAATTTTCAGTTAGTATTCTCTAAACACAAGTTTTCGGAATTCCAAGATTATTTTCTAGTTCACTCACAGTCAAATGACAATCTTCTTCAATCGCAAGTAGCACACAATCAATATTTTCCGATGTTAATGTGTTCAAAGGTCGACCAGAAGAGATATCGGTAATATCAAAATAATCAATCATTAATCAGATAGTTATTGATCCCTGATTCAAGGTAGTAAGTTTAATTAACAAACTATAATACCTTTAAGAAATTAAATTAAATTAAAATCTTACAAATTGATTAAATACATCTATCAAACTAGAATTCATAAAATGTAAACCTAATTATAATTACGTGTAAACAAAAATTGTGTAAACTTAACAAAACAATTCATAATTAAATTATTAGTTTTTTTTTTTTTTAATTATAAATATAACTTATATTAATGAGTTCGACGTTTGAAGGAAATTTAAATTTGAAGTTTGAAAAAATCAGTGTTTAACTCATCCTTAATTTTAAAAAACTGACAATGTCAAACTATGACAATAATACTTTTAATTTTAGGTGGTAGTCGGTCTGGTTCAGATGTTATGAAGCAAAATATGATAGGGGTTGCTTCGAGTGATCATAGTGGCGGCACAGCTCAACAAAATCTAGTTGCCGCGCCATCAACAGTAGACAAATCTAGTGGATCAGAAAAATCTCAAGTGATGGCTCCACCTAATGTACCTACTGATCTGTCTGCTAGTCAACAATCATTCCGTATGGCAATGGGAAATCCTTGCGAGTTCTTTGTAGACGTGATGTAAATTGTTTGCTAACATACAAGTGTAAGTTAAAACAAATTTTAATAAGAATTTAAATGTATCATATATACTAGTTTGAATGTTCTATTCGCATTTCTCCTTCTTGTTTTATTAATATCTCATAAGTCTCTTATGGCTAATGCATTCTTTTCCAGTCAGAAATGTATCAGAAATATATTAGTATTGTTTATGTTATAATATTATTGTTTTATTTTATATTTTAAGTAAATTTAGACAATTATTAGACAGGTTTAACAAATATTGTTGTACCAAATCATTTTTTGTAGACAAAAACTTATAATAATTAAAAAATTAATCTTTTTGATGATTTAAATTTGTTTTATTTAATTTGATTTTTATTATGTTTATTTTTTGTAACAAAAACATAATTAAATTATTCTTAAAGAATCCATAAGTAACAATTTTGATAATGTTTTTTTCAACAATCAGTTTTATAAGTAAATACAATTGTTCTGTTCTACATATTATGAAATTATTAATTTGATTAATTTTCCTTAGTCTTTTAAATATTTATGTAAAGATTTAAATCTGTATGAGAGAATACAACGTTGGACAGACATTTTTTTTTGTTTGAGTCATATAGAACATTATTAAAAAATTGTAATTTATGGAGTTTCATTTAATCATAAATTAAATTATGTTTAACATAAAGTAACAAAAATTGAATTAGTTAATAAATATAAATCAGGACTCTTGTAAAAATCATGATGTGTGAATTTGGTTTTTCAATAATGTTTTCCTCACATTGGATATGTTATTATGATTCAAAATTTAAATAAATTAAAATTATTTCTTAAAATATATTTTTAAATGGAATAGAGAACAAACATGTTAGATATTAATTTTACATATTATGTTATTTTTTTAAAAATCATTATTTAATTTTATTAGTTATAGTAGTCTTGAAAATTATTACAATTTTTGCTTCTTCATTTTTGCTGTCAATTTTTAATTTAAACAAAAATTGCTTTATTATATACCAGACATTAAAAATTACATTCTAAGGTTTAATCATTGTTGTTTTTTAGAATATAAATATTTTTTTTACTTTTTGTGGTAACTAAATTGATTTTTTTTTTTTAAATTTGAATATAAAATATATTGAAACATTTGACAAAAATCATGAAGCTAGTCAATTGTATGTTCATAAATAAAATAATGTAAGTACTATTCACTAGTTTACTGATCATTTTTTTTCCAATACAATAATAAAAACCATATTAATATAAATATATATATATTTTTTTTTTATTATTATTATTATTATTAGCTTTTAAGTTTTTAACACATATTCTACTGTTACAACATAAGACTGTGATAATATAATCCAAACTCAGTTTTTCAATTTGATTAATTGCTTTATTTTCATGTTTATATAAGTTTTCCAATATGAAAACATTTTTTTGTTTTTTGATACAGGGTAAGAATTATCAATGTATACGTTATGTGTTATGGTAGTATAATTTTATGCTTTAAATATTTTATTATTTTTTAATGAACAAATTTAACATCAAAAATAAGTAATGACTATTGCTGCCAAATTATAATTTATACTGTCTGAGTGAATTTTTTATAATAACTTTTGTAATGTACCTAACAAATCTTCTTTTTGTAGCCAAACCAAGACTTATTGAATAAAAGTAGTATAGATCAATAATATAAATTAATTGTTTTATTTTTTAAGATTCCTTTTTATTGTTGTAATGAACCAAAATAAATGTGTATTAATGTATGGGATGGCGGACTCCTTCAAACCATAAAAAATACCCCAACCTTAAATGTCTGTTTGTTATAATTTACCATGGTAAATTAATGTTCAATTTGTGTATCTTAAAAAATTTTTTTTCTTTTAAGTTTTTAGTTTTCGTCACATAAGTGTATACATGTTCCTACACTTAATATTTTAGTCATTTGGCAATATTATTATGTGATTATATTATTGAGCTATTTTCAAAATTTGATTTGCTTGTATTGAAAATTATACAAAATAAGCCCTTTTTCCCTAGAAAAAAAATAAATTATACCCTAGGAAATATTTTTTTTATTATTTACATTTTAGTTTGTTTTAAATGGTTTTAAAACAATTTTTATATTGATTTAACTACAGATTAAATTGTGTTGCCACTTTTCTTTTGTTTTCTGTTAATTTTGAGATCAATGGAAATGTTCTTATTGGCTATTGCTGTTTGATAAAGACTGGATAAATTTTATATTTAAAATATAGGTACCCAAAGCTTGAATGCAGAAATGTGAATTTTAGAAGACTGTTAACTAACTTCTAACAATTATAAAGATTAGAGAAAAAAAAACCAAAATATCCATCCAAATTTGTACAAATTAATTCAAGTAGCCACCACTATATACATGTTATTATTGCAAAATCTGAAATGTGATTTTTAGCTATGAGGAAGGTAAATATTGGTTTAGAACATTTATTTAATATTTCTACTATGTGTATAAAAATATACAAAGTCAATTATTGTTCTGATTGAAAAACAAATTTGTTATAAGAAGTAAGTGATGTAATTTAATATCAAATTATTTTAGATTTAGAGTGTAACAAGAAATATATTGATTTTACAATGATGTTAGTGTTTTATACTGTGTACAAAATTTGTCCTAGAAAATTTGCTTTGATGTAAAATCTTTTCTAAAAAGAAATTTTTATCTAATTGATATTTTAAGGAGGTCATTTTTTGATTTTCAAAAAAATTTTCATAATAACTGGAGAAAAAAATATGGACAAATATTTACAACCAGCCGATTTCATGATTCTACATTTTTGTAACTTATTTTTCTACTAGAAATCTTACTTCAATTAAAAAATGACAAAAGACCTTTCTTGTTATATTTTTAATGTAGTTAAAGAGTAAGAAAGTAGTTTTTCAATTTTCCAATCTGTTTTCTACCAGAAATGCTTAAGTAAAAAAAATGTAAGACATCATTTTTATTGATTTTTAGATTTAGAGCATAGTGAGTTATTATATTGGTTTTATTATAGGGTGATCATACTCCCTGTTTTCTGCAGGATTGTTCTTTTTTTCAGCTTTGTGACCTGTTGTCCTGAAAAATTTCTTTCAGGGAGCTACTTATTATTCCGCATTAATTCTTATTTTATTTAATTAGACATAAATATTTTAAAGTTTTTAAATAAAATAAATTTCTTGACAAAATATTTGTTTTAGATTATGACAGTCATTGCGATTGTATTTATGAAAAATAATAACTAAGGATCCACTAAACTTAAACTAAAACCCCGTTTACCACAGGACATTCTACTTGTAGTTCAAGACTATTCAGATTCAGATCAAGATTTAGAATTCATAAACTAACATTTATTTACATACTTACATGTAAGCTATAAATTAACATAGTAAAAATACGTGGTTTATTAAAATAATTATATTTGTAAAAAAAAAATACAAAAATAATAATAACCACAAAAATTGATACCTGTGATAACACATCTAAGATATACGAGTGTATTTAAGATAGTTATTGATATAGGCATTTCTTTTTAAAGTCTGAGTGGAGCGAAGAAGCTTATGGGCTTACAAAGATGTTTATTTTTTTTTATTTGTCCGCGCAACTTTTCTATCAGAAGACTTGCTCACATTTTTCAGAAAGGAAATTAGTGTTGGGAGTTACTTAGAAGAGGTTATTTTTTCGATTTTCTTAAGAGTTTTCTCATCAAATTAGAAAAACTTAAGATAAGTCCAATGTATGATGAATGCTGCAAAATCCATTCAAGCATTTTATTCTAAAATGGTTCATATGACCTGCCTCGTCCATGGTTTGCATCGTGTATGCGAGAAAATTCGTGCAGAATTTCCGAAAATTGACGAACTTATTTCGAATATAAAAAAAATGTTCTTAAAGGCTCCAGTTTTCGTTGAATTGCTCCGAAGAGAAGCCCCAGAAATGCCATTGCCTCCTATCATTACGCGTTGGGAAACCTAGTTAAAAGCCGCAACGTACTGTTGTGAGAATTTAAAACAATAAAAAACGTCGCCAATTTACTTAATATTGATGATGCGCTAGCCATTGGAAAAGTTAAAAAATTATGTCATAAACAGATTTAGAATCAAATTTAATTTTTATTTTTACACATTATGGATTTCTGGCTACGGCTATTACAAGTTTAGAAACTCAGGAAACTCATTTAACTGACGTATTCAAAATTGTGGATAATGTAGAAATAAATGGCTACAGTAAAATGTTCCAAAGGAATTACAATTTATATAAAATTTGAACAAGTTATTAAAAAGAATCTGAGCTTTAAAACACTATACAAAATTTCAAAAATTAGGCTGGGAGAAAAAATGACAATGGATAATTTACTTGAAGATTTTTCTTGTGATGATTTACTATATTTTAAATACGCTCCAATTTCTTCGGTTGACGTGAAGCGGAGCTTTTCGATGTACAAAAATATGTTGGCGGATAACAGACAATCGTTTAAATTTGAGAATTTATTAAAATCGTTGGTTATGAATTGTAATGTTTAAAAATGTATATTAATTAATAAAATAATGTTTTCAATTATCAGCCAAAGAAACTGAAATAAAAATCGTGAGTAGTATCATAACTAATAAGTAATAATGTTTTTTTCTTCATATTTATCAATTTAAAAAAAAAAGTGCATATTTAAGAGCATATATCAGGATTTTTAAGCGCATAAGTGCATATATATTTTGGTAGTTTTTAGTGCACAAACTTCCGGGCCTTGGTTATTATAATTAAATTACGTACTGGTACATTTAAAAACGGAAGCTTATCAATAATTTGCGGGAAACTTGGAGAGACTGGACTGGGCAATGATTTGAGTAGCTTACCATTTTTATCGATTAATTGGAACCCGGGCGTGAGGACAGAGAATTTATTTTTGATCTTGGCTGCATGAGTGGCAAGGGGGCTTAGGGGAGCTAAGTCCCTCCAGTTTTACTAATAGCTCCTCCCCGGTTACGACGAATATAGTTAGATATATTAATATTTTACTATAATTTTTTGTATTTGTTTTTATGACTACAATAATGTAATAGCTACAATATTATATTTTCAAATTTAAGCAAATAAATTTGTTTGAGGCTATAACCCCCCCTCAGAATTTTACCCTAGTTGAGCGTTTGCTTGACTGTGGATAGATTTTGGCCTGCACGATTAGTGCTACCCGAAGACGACGACATATTAACCGCACTAATTAGGTAGAAAATAACGATTAAGATATGATATGATGTAATAAACTGAATTTATGAGCAGAAACGCAGAGTAACCTGAGTCACGACCTTACGCTACGGTTTCATACGCAAGACTGAATATAGGCATAAGCTATAATTATGAAAAATTAACGAAAAAAACTGTAATTATTAATGAATATTACTTTGAAAGTATTGCTAAAATTATTTTATTCTGTATTGTATTTTTTTAAATATAGTCACTCTAATTTATTATGTTTTTTTTTCTTTTATCTAGTTTTTGAAAAGAAATCTTGCTCTGAATATCTGCTTTATAAACTATATACTATCCAAAAATGATGCATAAGACAAGTCATTTTTGGATTTTAAAAATAATTAGAAAAACTGGAAAGAAAATTATAGGTAAAAGGCAAATATTTACGGCGTTACTGATTTCATTGATTTTAATTTTTGCAAACTATGTTTTTTACCAGAAATATTGCTCCAATAAAAAAATAACAAGCAACCCTTTTAGTTGCATTTTTAATGCAGTTGATGAGTATGAAAGTTGTTTCTTAATTTTCCTAGTTCATTTTTTTTTTGGCAAAAACAAAAAACAAAACCTAGTTAGTAAGAACGGAAAAATGTACAAAAACAATAGTTGGGCAGAAAATTTATATTTTCTTTTTCTTGAAGTGGTAAATTTTCAGAATACTTGATGGTAACTTTTTTATGTGGCATTTACATCCCAGTATCCCCAGTACCTCTGAACAGAGCGTTGAATGTATTGGTTTTACAATGATGTTTATTTTTTATCTGTGAATAACTTTTCTACCAACAATTTTTCTCTGATAGCACAATGATAGCACTTTTTCTGAAAGGAAATCTAATTTCCACCTACTTTAGGGAAGTTATTTTTTGATTTTCCCAGCTTTTTTCATAATAAATGGGAATAACGGGAAAATAGGTACTTACCTATAATATTAAACATGCGTATATAATTATTTTATTATACTATGATATATATATATTGCTGACAAAGCAACACTATTAACCAAACTCTGCTCAGAATTATTTTTCGTTAGCAATGGTTAATCGTTTTGCATAGATATAAGTACATCAAAATTCCTCTCTACCTTTATAACTTTTCACCTACAATAGTGGCTCACCCGGTTGTAGGTAAAAATGTACGAAAAAAAATGTTTGACTTGTAAACTGTAGGCATAGCCAGATTTTATTTTTATTTATGAATTATAATTATGTAGGTATTATATTTTTTTACTCTCGGACATTTTTACCTCCCTACGTTTATTCATCTTACATTTTTGTAGAACTCCGTCCCACCCACATGCGAAATATGTCTTTAAAATAATCTTTTTTACTATTTCATTCAAATTATTATGATACATTAATAAAATTCACTATGAATATAATTTTTTACTTATTAGTTTGGAGCCTTTGTTAGTATAGATATTAATTATATTAATTATTTTCTGCAATGAAATCTCATAAACATTTTGTTTGTTAACTAAAGCTTTAATTAAAAAGTTTTGATTCTTTGCTAATTTCTACTCAATATGTAATAATTTTCTTTTCTTGCATCTTGGCAACCTAACTTAATCAATACATTCCTTGCATTGTTCAGAGTCATTAACTAATTCGACTATTCAATTATAGTGATACATTTCAAATTTAAACTAAAATTTATAATTGTATTATATTAGTAAATCACAATAAACTCTTAGGAAATATTGTTCTTGACCATTTATGAATTAAATCACTCAAGGACTATTTGATATTATTGTTGGTCTACTTTAATGATGCCTAATTAATTTATTATAAAATTGCTGTTTATAACCACGTGCGAGGATAGCCAAGGATTTTTTTTAATTGGTTAGAGTAAAAATGTATCGAGTATATAATAACGTATTATTAATAACTAGGCAATCAGTTTACCAAGTCATTTAATTTTTACTATTAGTTTTCATTAATTTATTAAGATAAAAAATGGTTGACAGTTTTCAAGCCTTTAGTAAGTTTTATAATATAATTATTTTTTTAAAATAAAAATATTTTCTTAAATTTGGTAATTTATATTTTTAGAATTTCCTTTAGACTATTTTAAATGCAAATATAAACAATTTCCTGAGCAATTTATGCTTGGAACAGGTTCTTCAGCTTATCAAATTGAAGGTGCTTGGAAAGATGAAGGTATGTTAACTTAACATTTATTATTCAATATAATTTACATGTGTTTTCTAGTAGGTACTATTAATTATAATGATATAATTTAAGTTTTTACTTAATAATATTCAAGTTTTCTTTTATTTAACTAAAAATACATTTATGGTTTGTACATCCTAGAATATGTACACATTTATGTTACGTACAATCTCAAGAAAATAACATGTTTGAAGATAATGATCTGCAGTAGGATTAACTACAGCACTTGTCCAGTGTCAAACCTAGATCCAGAGGCGTCTTCAGACTTTGACTATCGGGGGGGGGGGGGCAAAATAATTAAATTTAATATTAATGGTTAATAAGAAAAAAAGACTGAAGTACTTGGCACGATGGGTGGACCACTGTTATAGATTAGAAGATGGAAAGGTAGAATAATGAGGGAAATTTAATGTATATTTGTACTTAAGCAAATTTAAGCATTGCCAACAAAAAACGGTTCTGAGCGGAGCTCTGTTAATAGTATTACTCAGGGGCGTCTTCTGGTCAATTCCATGGGAGGTGGGTGCAAACAATTTTTACCCTTGAATACCACAGCTTTGGTCAACAAAAACTTAAAACCTTATTTATGGCTGATGGCATTTCAACTTATATTAGGTTAGAAGAAAATAGTACAATTTAAAAGTTAAATTAAATTGTTTCACAATAAATAAACAGTAATTAAAAGAATAATAATAATAATAATAAATAAATAAAAGTTAGATGACCAAGTTCAAAATACTAAATTCAAAATAAGTAGCGGTTTGATCAACAATATATTAATGTTTTCATTTTGATGACTATTTAAAAGTGATAGGCCAGTTAGCCTCTACTCAACATTTTTTTTTACCACAAAGTACAACTTATTATTATTTTTATCTTCACATTACACTTGAAAATACAAGATATTATAATTTATTGTATTTGTAATTGTGCCTATTCCTGTCCAACAGTTGTGCTTTAAAGAATGTAATAAATCATAATATATAATATGTTATCATATTATATTATTTTACATTTATGATATACAACTTTTTTATAAATTTATAAAATAGCAATTTTTATAAAATGTTTTATTCTATTTTGTACAAAATTAATTTGACACTGTTGTTGACTGTCATAGGAAAATCTGAAAGTATATGGGATCGAGTTGTTCACACCAAACAGGAATTATTTGTAAACTACCCAAATTCAGAAGATTCTATATTAAATAATGCATCAAAAGGAATATCTTCAAATGGTCGTGTAATATATAAACACAGTCATGCGATCATTACAGGTGATATTGCTTGCAATAGTTATTATAAAATGGATGAAGATATCAATCTCCTAAAAGAACTTGGAGTAAGTATTTTATTTATAGACTCCAGTTAAAAAAAATGTAACTACTAAGGGTCGTTCTTACTATGTCCCATAGTAAATATTATTAATTATTTATATTTCACATAAAAAACAACTGCTTGTTAATGCAAACAAACACTTTACATGGCATTGTAAGAATGGTCTTTAATAATTTTTAGAAATTGATTTTATTTTGAAATTTTTTTTATAGATTCAGAATAAATAAAGATCATTTTACATTTTATGTGAACCTTTATTTTTTGTAGTGTGTAAATTTTTCATATTTATTAACTCTTGTGATATATTTCTGTATTGAGTAATGTTTTTAAATTTTAATATTACAATGTAATATTTCTAAAAAAAAAATTGTATAAGTATTTAAATATAGGTAAAACAGTTCTAAATTAAAAAAAAAAATGAAAACTTTGTTTAAAGATTATTCTGTAATTATTTCAATTGATAAACCATTTGTGTAGAGAATTTTAAATTTAAATTATATATATGAAGAGTTCTTGTACTATAAATTAGTTTATAAAGTATTATATTTTATTAAAAAAGACATTAGGTGAATTATGTAGGAAAATTCGAGATATAACCAATAATTATAAACATAATCCATTTTTATATAATTTATATTTTACAAACAAGAAAACTAATAAAATATTTCATAATATATATTCTTTTATTAGGTTCAGTCGTATCGTTTTTCATTAAGTTGGACTCGTATTTTACCAAACGGTGAGGAGAGTTATGTTAATCCTGCAGGTGTTCAATACTATAATCGACTAATTGATAAGTTGTTGGAAAATAATATTACACCTATAGTATGTATTTAAAACAATTTATATTGCACTGTAAAAAAATTAAGAAACCATTGTTTTTATAAAGTATGATTAATTTAATTATTTGTTCATATCATATTTATTATTTGATTACATAGGTACAGTGGATATCGCTTAATGTGGCACCTTGGAATTAGACCTGTTTGCCCACATTAAGCGGCTGCCCATAAAAACCGAAATTAAAAGAATATAAACATTCGTAATATCAACAATTTTTTTTTAACACGCGAACTGTACAATTGAAAAAATGTTAAATAACTACATAAATAAAACTAAATGTAATATACTAAATAAAATTACTATTTGGATGTGGAAGGTGTACAAAACGTTATAATTGCTTGTTGTCTAAGTTGTTTAGTGTGGATCTGGCTAACAAAATGGGTGCACGCTTCAAGATTATCAGATGAACTATTTTACATGAAATCACATGTAAGTCTAAATATTTAGTCAACAAAATCCCATTCAAATGGTAATGCTTATTATTATAATTTTCGATAAACACAATGTCATAAATATACGACGAAACCCGATTAGGTATTTTACTATATTAGTCATTTTTAAATACATATGTTTAAAATTGCTCAAATAAACCGAATTAAATGCCCATATTATGCGGTTTTTTTAACCTTGTTAATGTATATTTGTATTGGGATCAGACCATTTTGCCCATATTACGCGGATGCCCAAATTAACCGGTGCCTACATTAAGCGGAATCCACTGTATTAGGTAGCTGCATGTAGCAGGTCAGAAATACTACTCGAAACTGGTACCAAAATTTCGAAGTTACTATTACAAATGTGTAGAAATTATATAAAAAATTTTGGTATATATCAGTTTCAAATCTCTACAACAAAAATTAAGAATTGCGGACTCTGGAGACACTTGTCTCTGACGTCCGTCACAAAAAATGTGTTTTTCAACGTTTAGGAAAGGGGGGGGGGATTGTACAAATTTCGGCGTTGCTGTAACAAATGTGTACAAATTATATAATTAATAATTATATATATATATATATATATATATTGGTATCAGTTTCGAGTAGTATTTTTGACCTGCAGACGATAGTGACATGCAGCTGTATCAGATACATTTTATTTTAAAGGTAACAATTATATTAAGAAGTTATTTAACTATTTTTAGTAAAAATGTAAAGTTAATTATTGCAAATACAATTAACTTACATTAGAATAATTGTGTCAATTAAATTTCAGGTAACAATTTATCATTGGGATTTGCCACAATCAATACAAGATTTGGGCGGGTGGTGTAATAAATATATAATAGAATTTTTTACTCGTTATGTTCGATTTGTTTTCAGAACATTTGGTGATCGTGTAGGTGAAAAAAAAATTTTAGTTTATAAAAAAAGTATTTGTTTGTTGTTAATTATATTATAACCAATTTTTAAAGGTAAAATATTGGATAACTATTAACGAACCATATGTTGTATCAGAAAGTTATGGTAATAGTAATGTTGGAGCTCCTGCATTAAGTGTGAATGGTTTCGGAGATTATTTGGCCATACATCATACAATACTAGCTCACGCATCTGCTTACCATTTATACAATCAAGAATTTAGAAAATCACAAAAAGGTAAATACTCTAAATTGTTACATTTCTTTAAATATTATGTGTATTTAATATAAATAATGTTATCAAATTGATTAATTTTTATTAGTATTTTAAATGACAAAAAACACCAGTGTACAGCAGAGCCATTAGAGTCAAAATTTCTTCCAGCCAATTTTTTGCCATTACAATATTTAATTTTTGTTTTATAATTCCTATAAAATAATGAGTTACATGAAAATAGTTGTTGGTAGTTCAATTCTTACTTTATAATTTTGAGAAGCTCTCAAGATTTTTGCTAACATTCGAACAGATCTTGGGGTGGTATTAGAAATTAAAACCTTCTAATGGCATATTCTTGGCCATAATTATGCAATTTATATACCTATACAAAGGTTAACCTTACTACTTACTTTTATAGGTCTGTATTAGAGATATTAAAAACTCGGTAAATTCTGTGAAATCATGTGGAATTCGAACATGAAACTAGTTGAGGAGCGAAATGAAAATTTAAATCACAAAAGTGCACATCCTTGATAAACCTATCCACCATAAATATATAAAATGTCTTAGCATTAGTATTATTTGGTGGTTCAGAACGAGCCACTAAAAGTGCCCAAAAGTAGCGGAAAAAAATATAATTTTATTATACTTTTATTAAGATAATAAGAACATCATTTTGTTTGTTGATTTTTAAATATTTATTACAAAATATTGTTGCAGGTGAAATAGGTATAAGCTTAAACATGGAATGGCATTATCCTAAAAATTTAGTTTCTCTAGAAGATCGCAGTGCTGCTCATCGAGCTCGTATGTGGCAGTTTGGAATTTTTGCTCATCCATTATTTTTTGGAGACTACCCGAAAGAAGTAAAACAAAGAGTTAAACTAATTAATCAGTTAAAAGGAATTACAATCAGTCGACTACTTCATTTCAGTGAAAACGAAAAAAGTCTAATTAAAGGTAAATATAATATATACACATTATATTAATAAATGACTTCTGTAATGCACCAACTACATTTAAAATGCAACATAGAGGTTTCTTGTGGTTTTTTGATTGAAGCAAGTTGTTTAGTTAAAATGCAGTACATAAAATAGTATGTCTCCAAAAAGTTCTCGTGGTCTAAATGAATATAACGGCGAGTCGGTAGAGTGGTGAGTTTGTCACGGCAACTAGGTAGCAACGAGTCGGTGTTGGCGAGATGGTAACGGCGAATTGTCTAAGAACCTTTGTTGTATCCATAATTTTTAATTCACAATTTTTATAAATAATATAAATGTGTAAGGTAGTGGTGGCTCGTGGGTAAAATAATTGGTGGCGTACATTTAAAAAATCGTATACAATAAGTACAGTCGATTCAGAAAACAGGAACCAAAACAAATATTTTATTGTATATATATATGAATATATTTGTATTATTTTTATATAGGAGGTTCTTAGATAGAAATTTACAATATATTAGGGAATTAAAGTTTGTTTTTGTTACATTACATTAAATAATATTATTTTGGAATTGAATGTAAACTGAATCGGTCAGTATTTTCTGTAGAGTATTTTTGGAGATAACGCCACCCGACGGACAAATTTAATATTATCCGAAAGATATAATCAATTCCCAATTTCCCAATGTATTCTCCGTCAGTAACGGCAGACGGTTGTACGGCCATGTCGGTGCAATATTCATTTGTGCACCAACAGATCACTAAGACAAATGGTACTGAATGGGACCGAAACGGTCAAATGCGCATGTGCAACTGGTTCAAAAATTGAATTTGCCCGTCCCTACTCCGTTAATGCTGCCGCTACGAATTGTGTTTGATGGCATACCTGTAACGTGCGATAACATTCGTTTTTCTCTTTTTTTTGGATTAAATATTCCTTTAATTCTATAAAATAGTTTTTATTCTTGTCTCTAAAGTAAATATGAATGCATTTCTAGTTCATAATGTAATATATATATATATATATATATATATATAATAATAATAATAATAATATATTTTTATATTATTGTAATATAACAAAACGATATAGTTTTCAAAATTGTAGACAGTACACTGCTCTTGTGAACCATAGCACTGATGTAAGGTAATTGGTATAAAAGAGCTACACTCCCTATAGGGTTTTTTTGGGTATGGATATTTATCAACACTATTAATTAAATACAAATGCATTGTATCTCCTGAAATCGGATGTATTTTATTAGACATTATTTAAAAAATTGTTTTCAAATAGAAAAATATAAATACATCATAACAAAACCAATACTCGCTTCCCTCTGAATCTAAAAAGAACACATTAAATTGTCATACATTAAAATTATAAAAGATAAATTTGTAATGTAATATTCGATACATAATACACACATGGACATAGGACATGACGCGTAGTGCCACATTCAAGATTTGTTATATTTATTAATTAGTTATTATATTTTACATTTATATATAGGGTTTTTCAATAAGAGCGGGTCGATGTTGAAATGAAATAAAACAAGCTATGTGCGAGGTATTAGTGAAATTTTTTTTCTATTTTGAAGTTCTAAGTATGCCAATTATGTTTTGAATATAATATCGTTTAAATCCGTCCACGGCTTCTCACAGTGGCACGAATCCGAGTGGTCCAATTTTCAATGACTCTGCCGCATAGATCCGGTTGAATTTGAGCGATGGCCTGGGTTATGTTCACTTTAAGGTCATCTGTCGATTTCGGCTTATCGGCATAGACCTGCGACTTCAGGAAACCCCACAAGAAAAAGTCTAATGGGGTCAAATCACACGATCTTGGTGGCCAATTCACGTCTCATCGGCGAGAGATAACCATACCCTCAAATTTGCCGTTCAGAATGGCTATCGTGGCGTTGGATGTATGGCACGTAGCGCCATCCTGCTGAAACCACATGTCGTCTACGTCCATACCGTTCATTTTGGG